CGGTATAGACTGGTGGAGATATCAGAGCTGCGTTCTGATCCCAAAGCTGATTCCTTTCGCCAAAGAGTGCCTCCAAGATAGGCCTCAGACCGTAGTTATGGAGGATAAGGCACCTGGGCACGCCCACCAGTATCAGAACGTTGTCTATAGTCTATCCAACGTCGAGAGACTACTTTGGCCTGGCAACTCTCCAGACTGTAACTGTATTGAGCCATGCTGGTTCTACATGAAGAGAGAGACTACAAAGAAAGGAGCTCCACAGTCAAGAACGGAGGCAACTAGAATCTGGCTAAATTGCTGGAGAGATCTCCCACAAGCTAAGATCCAAGCTTGGATTGAGCGTATTCTTATACATATTCCAAAGATAATTGAGCTACAAGGTGGTAATGAGTATATAGAGGGGAGAGATAGGCGTTGTGTAGGAGAGCGGCCAGATTTCGGCTAAATTATTCTTGGCAGGACAAAACTTTTGTGAGGCACCTCCGTACAAGTATAGCAGATGGCAGGGCATGGCAGGGCATGGCATGACCAGCGAGGCGGCCCCACACACGGGCACGCCGATGCGGATGCTGATGCGGATGCGGATGCTGATGCTGATGCTCACGGTTCTGCGTGTTGACGGAGCCATAGCTGGCCATGGATGGATATTAATGGGCGGCCCACGAGCGCCGCGACGGGCTGCCAAACGCCACGACGGGCGGCCTCTGTCTCACAGCCGCCTGGCAGCGGGCGGAGGGCGTCTCAAACGCCCGCCAGACCATGGGACCGCAATAGACACGGCCGCCTCTCCGCCCCCTCTGCCTTGCCCATTGCCGGCGCATTTGCCTCTTTCTCGTCGTCTTGGCCGCATAACCCAATCCAGCCCGAGCCTGTGCCTTTTGCCCCAGACACACCTAACCTAGACCTGCACACACCCCGACACCCGCTCCCCCCCCAGCACACGCCCGCGCCCATACCATACTGCAGCACACGCACATCCTCCCTCTCCCACACCCACACCCTCTCTCTCTCCTCCCACTCCCATATACCCCCCAAGCACGCTCCGCCCCGCCCAGCCCGCATGGTCCTGTAATACCGCCCTGCCTGTGTCGCCGCCCAAACGCTGTCGAAACTCGCGCATTGCCTCAGCTGTTTAGCCTCACACCCCCCCAGCCCGCCTGCCCGCCTGCCCAGCCCGCCTCTCGCACCACGCCCTCAACCTCCGTACATCCTCACCCGCGCCGCTCAAGAGGGAAGGTGATGTTCACAACGACGGCGGCCCCAGCTCCCCCAACCGCTGTCCCAACCGCCCTCTCAACGGACTCGCCGGCCCCGCGACCGACTGGCGTCCACCGAGGCATCAGCTTTTTCAGGAACCTGCACCTGCACTCGCAAGCCAGCCAAGGCGACGCCACACGTGAGGACTCGCGACTCGGAACCCGCCCACGCGCCTCAACCCATACGCCCCCCGCCTCGCCCGCCCTGACCTCTCCGACCCAGCAACAGCAGCCTGCCCTCCCTCGCCTGAACCCTCTCTCCAGAAGACGGACCGCCGACGCGCAGCCCCAGCCCCAGTCTCCAGTCACCGACTCCCCGCCCGCCTCTCCACGCTACACCATGACCAGAACCCGCTCCGAAACGGCCCAGCCCCAACTGCAAGTCCGCAACAACACTGGGCCCACGCCCACCACCGCTCCTCCGGGCCCCAGCACTGCGCAGCCAGCAGACGCCGCCGCCCCGGACACGGGCGGTGCGGTCAAGCACCTGCCCTCGATTCGCTTCATCCCCCACCAGGACCCCCGAGCCGGCCGGCCCTCGCTGATATTTCCCACAATCACCCGCACCCTGCCCGACGAGTCGGCCGTGCTGCGTGTTGGCCGCTACTCGGAACGCGACAATGCACCCGAAGTCGCCACAAACACCCCCTCGGCCGCGGCCATTGGCTTCAAGTCCAAGGTCGTCAGCAGGAAGCACTGCGAGCTGTGGTGCAAGGACGGCAGCTGGTATATCAAGGATGTCAAGAGCTCCTCGGGCACCTTTCTCAACCACATCCGTCTCAGCCAGCCCAACGTCGAGTCCAAGCCCTTTCGCATAAAAGATGGTGACATCATCCAGCTCGGTATTGATTTCCGCGGCGGCGAGGAGATGATCTTCCGGTGTGTAAAGATTCGTGTCGAGTGCAACCGAGGCTGGCAGCAGGGCTTGAACACATTCAAGTAAGTTGTAGCAATGTCCACCTTGTGACACTGCTTGCTAACTGCTTGCAGCAAACAAACCCACCAACGCTTGCGCGCCCTTGCCAAGAGCAAGAAGGATGTCAATGGCGACGGCGCCTCTACACACACGTCCGAGTGTGCAATCTGCTTAATGTCCATTGCCGTATGTACTCGTCTAATGCCAGTGACCCCTCCCCGGGCTGTAACTAATCGCTTGCACAGCCTTGCCAATCGCTATTTGTAGCGCCTTGCTCACACGTGTGGCACTACAAGTGCATTCGCCCAATTCTCAATGGACCAACATGGCCCAACTTCCTCTGCCCCAACTGCAGAGCCGTTACAGATCTAGAAGAAGACGTTGAAGACATGGGCGAATTCGAAGATTGGGAGGGGGAAGAGGAGGTGGCAAATGGTGACACAACCACCCATCCAGACGCCGAACAAGGCGATCGCCACGTCACTCCTCGTGCCTCTGTCGCACCTCTAAACGCTAGCGAATCCGACGGCGGCATCGATCTTAGCGAGTTACAGCAGCACATGACCAACATTGATATCAATGGCGCAGAACCAGTCAATGGAAACACACATGACGCTGCGCTCGAAACACCGGATCGCCGCCTCACACCTCCATCGTCTTCGGTAACACAGCCCGTTAGCATCAATGTCTCTGGAGCCAACGAGTATGCAGGACTGTCTCCGCTATGCCCCATGGGCAGCGATGGTCTAGCACCCGATCGCATGCACGACGGGCCCATGACGCCTCGTAACGACGCCGGTCCCTTTGTTCTAGATGGCAGTGCCGGCAGAAGTGCTGGAAGCCGTTCTCACGAAGACGATTTACCCAGTAGCGACTCGGACAGCAGTGCACGTATCCGAAACAATAGTGGTGCACCCAGTCTACCACCTGTACGTTCTGACTAGCGAGCGCCAAAAGAAAAACAAAATACGAAAAAAATAAGGGGGGAAAGTGGGAAAAATATTACAGCCAACTCTGATGTCCCCCCTCCCCCTCCCCCTTTTTTTTGTTGACGTTCTTTTCCCAATTCGTTGAGACGTTTTCCCCTCAAATACCATATTTTCTCCTTTGGTACTCAGTTGTTTTGCATGGTTTGTAGGGCGTTTTTTTGTTGGAGGCGTTCAGTTTTCATTTCCTTTTTCTCATCAATCATCTTCTGTTGATAGTTAAGCGAACATGTTGTTATGAGTGATTGATTGATTGATTGATTGATTGATTGATTGATTGATTCTCTGTCTGTCTTGTTTGTTTGTTTGTCGTTTCGTTTTGTTGCTTGCTTGCTGGCTTGTTGAAGCATGGGTTCATGGGTACTTGTCAAGCGCAGGCAATTTCATCAATATGGAGTGTTGAGAGAGCGCCATCAAGCGAGCATGCGAAGACGACGATGACGAAACCATATAAAGGGGAGACATACAAAGATGAAGCGAGAGAGAGAGAGAGAGAGAGAGAAACAGTATTTATGGGGTACATGCAGGACATGCCATGACATGACATGACATATCATTCTTAGCTCTCACTTCCCTCACTTTTTTTTTTACTAAGAACATATATGAGAGACACGGAGAGAGAACATACAACATATATATTCATACACACACACACACATATTTACGCATTCAGATAAAACAGACACGTAAACAGGGAGACTGATACAGAGACAGAGAGACAGAGAGTGTGTATTGAAAAAGAGAGAGAGAGAGAGAGAGAAAGCAAGTTCTAATATATTGTATCAACTTGCTTGCTTGCTTGCTTGCTTGCTTGCCTGTCCATCTGCCTGTCCATCTGCGTTCATTTACTAGTTATCTTTTGGAGTTTTTTTTTCTTTCTTTCTTTCTGGTTGCTCGCTCATGTTGCTGTACTGCTTTTGTTCTGTTATGTCATGTCCCGTTCGTTATATTCTATATTCTATGCTGGGTTTCTGCAAGTTTAGTTCAGATCTACTGTAGTAGAGTTTATTTCAGCACAGCATGGTTTAGTATAGTATAGTACAGTATAGCAAAGCATCATAGTCTAGTCCAGTCCAGTCCAGTCCTGTCTAACAGAGTACAGTCCAGTCCAGTCCAATAGAGTACAGTAAAACACACACACACACACACACACATACATACATATATGTACAGACTGCAAGTGGAATTATCTAAAAACTTCGCGCCAGGAAATTTATAAAAAAAACCAACAAATTCAAAAAGTGCAATGTTACTGGATTCAGCCAGATGAAATGGAATTACAAAAGGGTTGAGTCAATCAAGTTTAATACATAAGATAGGGAGGGAGGGTATGAGGGATGCTTGATATAAGTGATGACGAAATTAAAGGAGATGAAGGGAAAAAAAAGGATAATATCCTCAGTATCACAGTCCTTTTTTTTTGGATCTCATAGATAAACACATGTTTGTTTGTTTGTTTGGTTATTGATTGATTGATTTGTTCAATTGTTTATCCTTGATTCATATCATCAACATCAGATCAGATCAGGTCAACTGTTTCTATATCCATCATCATCATCATCATCGTCAACGTTTCCCCCCTCGCTTCTTACCCCCGCATTTACCTCCTCCCCCTCTCCCACTCCGCCCGCCCCCTCCTCCACCCGTCCACCCCGTCTGCCCCGCACCACGACTCCTTCGATATTCCAAAACCCACCTCGTTGCCCCACTCACCCCCACCCACTCAACATGCACAACGGCTCGATATGGGAACTGGCTAATACTGTAGCCCACATTCAAACATGCCGCCCATGGCTTTCCCCTCGTGACTTGCCTTCCACTCCTCCAGCAACACCATGATTTCCTGTCGTGTGTCCTCGATGATGCCATCCATTTTGATATCGTTCTTGTCGTAGCCAAAGGGGTCCTCGAGCTGGACTCCGATACCCTCGATGCCGTATAGAGTAAAGGTGACAATGGCGACGACGAGGACGCTCCACCAGCGATAGTCGTCGACAATGGCAAAGGGGAGGACGCAGCCGTAGAGGGCGAGGACTTGTTTTTGGTGGATGAGGTGTGCGACGGGGATGGGGGTCGAGTGGATGGTTTCCATGCGGCCGTAGGCGTCGACGAGCGAGTTGACCTGGCATGTCATTTGCGACGAGAGCGGGGGATGGAACCAGCCGCGGTCGGTGCCGCGGCGGATGTAGCCTTCGATGAGGATGGTGAGCTGGAGGGGCAGGCCGAGGCCCTGGTCTTCGTAGCCCATGAGGCCCTCGGGAAGCAGAGACACGTATTCGGCCTTTTGCGTGGGCAGGGTGCCGTCGCCGTTTTCGAGCGTGGCACCGGACTGGCTGAGCAGCGGCGTCGTCGAGGTGCTGGCTGCGTTGCTCGAGGGGAACGACAGCGTGCCAAAGCTCGCTGTGCGGTCAATGTAGCTGGGGCGGCGGGACACGGGCCGCGAGCGCTGGGGGTAGACGCTGGGTTGCGGGGGGAGCGAGGCCAGACTGGCGGGGGGAATGTTGAACTCGGCACGGAGGTTGTGCTTGATCGAGTAGAGAATGGCAATGAGCACGCGGACGATGCGTTCCGTGTCTCGCTTCTGCTCGTCGGTGGCGTCGCCGTCCTTGTCGCGCGAGTTGACGAGGCATATGCGGGCGAGGTTGCGCACAGAGGTGTTGATGGTGGTGAGGCAGTTGCGGCCCGTCCAGAAGCGGTCGTAGCCGGTGCTGTTGCGGAAGACGAGCATCAGGCCGACGACGATGGAGAGCGAGGGGATGATGGTGGCGGGGATGCTGATCGAGTCGACATAGCGCGTGTCAATGTAGACGATGAGGACGGTCCATAGCGAGTGCAGGACGACGGGCAGGAGGATGATGTCGTGCACGGCGCCCTTGGAGAAGCGGAGCACCAGCGGGATGCGCCTGGGCTTGCGGCGGAAGGCATGGGCGAGGGGGTAGGTTGGGCGGCGCGTGGGAAATTCTGGCGTCGACATTGTTGGGCGGTGGTGTTGAGGGGAGAGAGGATGGGCGAGGGCGGGAAGGCTTGGGGTCACACAGCAACTGAGACTACTGCTACTATCTCTCAGACACGCCGGCTACGGACCCCCGATCGACGCTGCATCCGTGCTTTCCCCGCAATGGGCCAACGGGCGTGCTGGTGGTGGTGGTGCTGGAGAGGGCGCGTGGTGGTGAGTGGTGGGCAGGTGTGGAGAGACATGGCAACACGTCGATGGGACCGGGATGTCGACGCCCTGGGGCCCGCGCGTCGCAAGCCGGCGGTATGGATGTTGATGTCATTGTCGTCTCAGGCGGCGGGCGCGAGATATACGAGAGGCCTTATCTCCCAGGTTGCTAGCCGGGTTGCGCGAGAGAAGCGCCGACGGTAAACTCTGTGCGAGAGTCAGGACGAAAGTCGGTCAAGCACGTGCCGGCGCATGACGCTCCACGCCTTTTCACCTCGGCCATGCGTGCGTGTCGAGCATCGTGCTGGGCAGCTTATTCGTCCCGACATGAAGGGGCCAAACCTTAGCATCTGTGTCTGTCGACCGTCTGCACGAGAGTACTAGCGTGTCAGGACCGACATCAGATAAGGGCCATGGACCTCTCCCACACTGCCACTGCGACGACGACGATTCCCGCGGATCCGCCCGCCGAGGCCGCGCCACTGCCACCGCCACAGGCCGGAGCCACACCAGCGCCAGCGCCGCCGCCGCATCCCAGCTTGACACAAAGGCTGCGATACTCGCTCCTGAAGTCCATCGCCAGAGCCGCCGGCAGCACAGACCGCACGCTTGTCCGCCTCGCAAAGCTCGTCTCCACGCCCGACGGCATCGACATCCTGCTCACGACAACATGCTACACCCTCACCCTTGTCCACGCACTGCTGTCGCGCATCCTCGAGCGCCGCCTCGCCCACATGGCCGCTGGTATCGCTGAAAAGGCAGACGGCGTCTTGCCCCCGAGCACAAAGGCCATGGCGCAGATTGTCGCCAGTGCAACGGCCATAGAGCAAGTCATCTCTGACTATCGCATCTTCGCACGCATGTGGGGTCTGCTGGGCCTGTATGCCTGGGCGAGGGCGACCTGTCACGACCCGCTTCCCGTGAATGCTGGACGGCAAGAGACGATACTGCGCGGCCTGACGTGGGCCAGCGTTGTGTCGAGCGTGGCCTTCCAGGTTCTAGAGAACGGCGCATATCTGAGCTCCAAGGGAGCACTGACAACAGACCGCTGGACGGGAGCGGCTGGGAAGGCGCGGGAAACCCAGTGGTGGCTCTGGAGCTCGCGCTTCTGGGCCGCCTATGTGGGCATGGAAATCCTTCGTCTTGCCATCTTGCGATACTACCGCGAGCCAGCGCCCACTGCGCTTGTTGGTGGCGACGGCGAGAAAGAGGACAAGATGAGCATGGAGGAGAGCATCAAGGCGGCCAAGCAAGAAAACTGGGTGTGGTGGAAAGACCTGACTTCCAATGTGGCTTTAGCCCCCATGACAATACACTTTTCCATGGAGCAAGGCCTGCTTAGTAATGCCGGCATGGGCATCTGTGGCACTGTTGCTGGCGTAGCATTGCTGATAGATGCTTGGGCGAGGACTGCATAGTCGCCATGCAAGCCGTGGAAGATTTTTAATCCCTGGTCCAGTCCACGCAGCATTGCGGATTGCCGCCGGGGCCTATACAAGACAGGCTCAAATCTCCTGTTGTGTGCACCCCCCAACACACACTCCATCCCAAGTATCACAGATAGATAGACAAACCCTCATGACACTTGAATATTACCCCCACGAAACACCCCCACATGGCCGACTTTGCAAAAAAAAATGTCTCACGCATACCCTTCTTTCCGCACCCTCGCTCGTACTGAGTGGGCTAGGTCTGACAGAGTACACCTACCTAGTCTGTGTATCTATACATATGTCATGTTTAGTTACCTCCGGGGGCCCGGAGTGTGCAGTGTGTTGGCCCTTTACACTTATGCGCCCGCAAATAAACCCTAGCCCACCTTCCACACTGGGTCCTAGTTTCCGAGCCTTGAGCCCCCCCCCCATCCCTGACTAACTACTTGCCCCCAGCCTATCGCAGCCCGCCGCACCGCCGCCATGTACTTTGTGCTCACGCCGAAAAAAGGAAATCAGAGAAAGACACGAGCGGAGATAACAGGGCGTCGTGTGCAACATACCATGTCCATGTTGTAGTGATGGGACCGGCGCATTCCCGCGGCCCGGCCAATCGTGCGTTGGAATGGGGCTTTTTTGATGCGCCGGGGGGAAGCGGTGCTTGGCTGGCCGATAGCGGCTCTGCGTGTTAGATGAAGGGCGGATAAGTAAACGAGGGGTCTCAGTAATGCGAGCAATGCACGTTTACGAGAACATGTGTGCGAGGGTTCGAAACGTTTGATTAGGAAGGACTGCAAGAGCGCGCACGCTGGAAAGGGAAAGTCTGTGATAGGCTAGTCTAGTGTTTTAGCACCGGAGACGGAGGCTTTCAGACGCCTGCATGTTCGCGGAGCAATGACTTGCTTCTGGCATGGTGGCTGGCGTCTTGATCCGGCCGAACGAGGTCAACTTGGAGGGTAATGGTAATGATCTTCGAGTAGGTGTGAAAGGGTGCCAGAGACCAAAGATTGCATGGCGTTTTGGCTAACCACAGACTAAGACGGCGTGGGCGGGCTGTCTGTGGTATTCGTCGGACGAGTATAAAGGCCCCTCTTCTTGCCGGGCTTTTCTGGTCGTCACTGGTTCAGCAGCCTCTGTGGATTCCCCTCGTTTTCGCCCTTCCAAGACTAAAGACACACTCGCTCGTTGTCGATCCATTGCTCCGTCTGTCCATTCACCATGAAGTTCCTCACTAGCATCCTGCTCTTGGTCGCGCCCATTGCCCTTGCCCTCCCTACTTCCGATGCCACCCTGGAGGTGAGGCAGAGCTGCTACGTGCAATGCGGTAACACCTGCTACTCGTCGAACCAAATCCAAGCTGCTCTCAACGCCGGATTCAACTACTACAGCAACGACGACCAGGCTGGCAGCTCGACGTACCCTCACAGGTACAACAACTACGAGGGATTCGACTTCCCCGTCTCCGGCCCGTACCAGGAGTTTCCGCTCAAGACTTCGGGTGTCTACAGTGGCGGTAAGTCAAGCCATGTATGAACTGTTGCTTAAGACGTCTTTGCTGAGAAATTGGTGCTGCAGGATCTCCTGGTGCCGACCGTGTCATCTTCAACACTCAGGGCCAGTTGGCTGGAGAGATTACACACACTGGTGCTAGTGGCAACAACTTTGTTGGTTGCTCGGGAACTTCGTAGAGAAGCCAGATCTGTGGCTGGGCGGGGATGAAGCAGAAGCGTTGGACTGACGGTATGCGGCCGTTTGGTCGACTAGAGGACGGGCTTGTGGGAGGGCATTGCGTATACCCAGCGAGGATGATGTCTGTGCCAGTGATATCCAACTCTGCTTACCTGTAGCGTCGAGGTGTTGTTTGTATCGCGTTAGCTGTGCGTTAGCTATATGAATGTATGCATTATGAACGAGCATGTGTCCATGGGTGAAGTGGTGAAGTGGTGAAGTGAAGGGACGCTGTGTTGGTCACACCATGTGAATAGGAGCACTGCCGTTCTCATGTCAGCTTCTGGCGTCACTCTCCCGCCCCGGCGCGAGTGACATGTGCATGTGCAGAGTGTAGTGGTAGTGGTAGTGGTAGTGGTAGTGATGGCGGGACAGCTCGGGCCATCAGGGTGGCTGTGCAAGGCTGTGGAGTTGAGGCCCTCGTCAGTGACAGTATACAGCCTCCAGCCCCACGAGCAGTCGCAGCCTGAAGAAGAGCTTGCAGAGGCTCGGTGCTCTGCTGTTTGCCCCGCCTGTTCATAAGCGCTCGTCTGCAGACGTGGCGCCTGCACCGCCGGTGACGTGACAAAACTCAGCCTCTGTGTGTGCCCACAATTCATCACATACTCTCGATGCCCAACGCCGCCCGCCAATCACGCAGCAAAAGCCCCGTCAGGCGGTGCGTCGGCTGGGGCTGAGCCGCCCAGGGCATCGCGCTTACCCTACGCCTGCTCCAGCTCCTTCCTTCCACACGCAAACAACCCGCAAGGCACCCGCCCAACCGCTATTTCATCCACTCCAATTCCCTCGCAGCTCACACACATCCACCCTCTGAATCAGCCTTGCTCCCCTTCTCCCCATCCCCTCATCGCCGCGACACATCCCAAACAACCACTGCAACATGGGTGTATGTATTCTCCCAGCGCCTGGGCTGCCCCTCCATGCCCCGCCTGCGTCATCGACGTGCGCGCAAGACCAGCTCCAGCACGCCCGCATTCGTCAACTGTGTATGCTGACCTGAAGGAAAGTTGGCCTCGAAAATGGCTGCGGCCAATGCCGCCGCGGGCATCCCTCCAGGTGGCCAGCCTGGCTATGTGAGTGTTGCAGCACGAGCGCAGCCTCGACACCCTTTACTAACGCCAACACAGCCTGGCCAGCAGCAGTACCAAGCCTATCCAGGTGCCCAAGGTGCCGGTGCTCCCGGGGTAAGCCAAAAGTTCTTTTTCTTCTAGTTCCCGCGTCTGCTTGCATCGTCATTACCCTGCTCTACCCGCCACCCGACACGAGGCACTCGCAAGCCCATGACGAGTCCCCACTTTACTTTTCACGCTCAATAACCCCCGCCCCCTCTGAACCTCCGCCTGGGACCTTACACGCCACACTTTGCTTTTGGACCTTAGCCACACATGCCTCTATCCACCAAAATGTCTGCCGGCTACAACGCTTATCAGCCCCCGCCGGGACAGTCACCAAACCCCTATGCACCACAGCAGCCTGGCCCCCCTCCTATGCCCCCACGCCCTGGCTCCTACGCATCTCCACAGTCTCCCTTCAACCAGCCCCCCGCTCCCAGTTCCTACGGCTCATCGTCACCCTATCCTCAGGGGCAGTCGGGCTACAATAGACCTCCCCCGCCGCCCCCAGGTCAACAGCCCCCGTCTGCATATTCTCAGTCGCCATACCCCCCGACTCCTCAATCACCATATTCTCAGCCTCCTCCGTCGCCATACCCTCAGACTCCCCAAGCCGGCCAGCCACCCCCAAATCAATGGAATCAGCCACCACCTCCCCAGCCATATGGACAACAACCATACGGACAACAGCCATACGAACAGCAGGGTCAGTGGGGACAGCCACAGCAGCCCGCTTATGGACAACCGCCTCAGCCATACAGCCAGCCTCTCTCGCCGACATATCAACAAAATGTTCGTACCGATTCAGTCTCCCGCCAGTGTGTCCTTGATGGGCTCGATCCTGGACTTTTATTCGCTTATCTTGTTTTGCATTGTCTAATCTTTCGCACTTGCCCCTTGACATTTCCATACGTTTATCGAAAACTCAGTAATAGGAAACCACAGAATCAACTGCTAACGTGTGACTTAGGGTGGCCCACCAGGACAGCCCCCTCAGGGCCAATATGGCGCGCCTCCACCTCAGGGCGGATACCCGGGCGGACCGCCTCCACCACAGCAAACTCAGAGTAGCCCTGCTGAGATAGAAGGCTACAAACAGCTTCTACACGCTTGTATCCAGGAAAAGAATCTCCAGAGCTTCTATCCGCCAAACGACCCAAGGATTAACCAGATTGCGCAAGAAGCAGGTCCCAAGGTCAACCAGGTCATCCAGCGATGGCGTGTCGCAAAGGAGATTGCAAACGACATTGTAAAGCTTGCCTTGTACGATATTGTTCTCTATATTGGTAAGTCACCTGATTCAGCTTTTCGAGCGAGACTAACCTGCCGAAGACGACAGTGGTTCCATGCAGTTTGAAGAGGAGGGAAGCCGCATCAAGGACTTGCGCCTTATTCTGGAGCGAGTTTCTTTTGCTGCCACACTCTTTGATGCAGATGGCATCTCGATTCGCTTCATGAACACCGACCTTACCAACGCACGTGACCAACAAGGCCGACCTCTCCAGGATGGTGTTGCTTCCGAAGCCCAGATTGAGCAGCTTATGCGCGGCGTACAATTCAAGGGCCTCACACCCATGGGCACTGCTATGAGGCAAAAGGTCATTGACGGCATTGTTCTCCAGAAGGCAAGGAGCGGTCAGCTGCACAAGCCTGTACTGGTCATTGCCATCACCGATGGTCAGCCAGCTGGAGAGCCCCAGAACGCCATCTTTGACACTATTCAATATGCCTTTGATTCCCTCAAGAGCACACAGTACGGTCGAGGTGCCGTCGCGTTTGAGTTTGCCCAGGTTGGAAACGATGAAGCAGCGAGGAAGTTCCTCGGCAAACTCGATGAGCACCCCCTTATCGGACCAGAAGTTGATTGCACCTCGAGTAAGTTGGCCATTGATCACACTGACCGAGACATATCTAACTCTGCCTAGACTTTGAGAATGAGCAAGAAGAGATGATGCGTGCCAATCCCCCAGTGGACCTTACACCCGATCTCTGGATCATCAAGCTACTTCTTGGTGCCATTGACCGAAGCTACGATGCCAAGGATGAAAAGACCAACGCACCACCTGGTGGATACGGCGCGCCTCCAGGCCAGTACGGTGCCCCGCCTCCGGGTCAATATGGCGCTCCTCCTCCAGGTCAGTACGGCGCTCCCCCGCCAGGACAAGGTCAATACGGCGCCCCGCCTCCAGGCCAATACGGCGCTCCTCCTCCTCCAGGACAAGGACAGTATGGAGCTCCTCCGCCAGGTCAATATGGCGGTGCTCCACCACCAGGCCAGTACGGTCAACGACCACCTCAGGGTGGCCCTGGCGGATACCCAGGCCAACAGCAGTATGGAGCACCTCCACCAGGTGGAAGGTACTAGTACTGAACTCCTACCTATGGTTTGAGTAGCCTGGAGTCAATCAGACCAAAATTGAAAAGAAGTGGATAAATGTGTCGAGGTAGAGTGATTGCTATCCTCTAATCTGGGTTTGGTGGCTGAGACATTGTTTTTTTTTATAAAGCTCGGCTCTAGGTAATACCGATTCCTTGCACGATGCGAATATATCAGTTATCGTTTATGCTATGCTCTCAAAAGCTTCGACAGCTAGTTATATTCCCCAATTGCCTTTGTAGTTATGATTCCTGAGTATGATGTAGTTATGAATCTAAGAGTATGACAATGCGAAGTAGAACAGCAATAAAGAGTTTCATTGTCATGAGTGAAGATCAATGTGAAGTTGCAAAGGCTGTCTGATAGGTAGGGAAAGATGGATTATACATTGCTACCCGAGCTTCTGACAGGTACAAATACACCCTCTATCTCGTTGCAGCAGTTCAATCAACACCCCAGGATACGAAAAAGTACTCGATACACTATCATACAAACCCTTCAACAAGAGTATATTACTCAAACTGGTTTTTACTCGGGTCTGGCGCACTGTATCCTCTCCCGAATAAGAACCCCTGCAGCCTATCCTCCATCCTAGCAAACTGCCACGACCGTCAGCTTCGAATAAAACAAGTGAAGCAATTGAAAAAATAAAAATAAAACACGACTTACAAAACCCCTCCCTTGCACCCCATCCCTTACCCAAACCGCATACCCCCCCATCAAATTCGCCATGACAACATCCGTCGCCAACCTATCCCCCACCACGGCAATCTGGTCCGGCCGCTTCACCCCCGTTTCCGGATGTTTCTTGAGAAAATACTCGAGCACTTCGTTGGCGCACCCGGGTTTCTTGGTGGAATGCCGCAGTACGGTGACGCCTGTGCGGGATTCTAAGGCCGCGGCTTGGGTGCCTGTGGGATCGGAGGTGGTGGTGCCCGCGGTGTTGGATACGATGAGGAGTTTGGCGCCGGGGTAGGCGGTGCGGAGGCGGGAGAAGTGGTCCTGTAGGGGTGTTTTGTGAGTTTTTTTTGGTGTGGGGGAGCGTGTCTGCTGGAGAGAGGTAAGGTAAGGTGAGGTTGGGTGTGTGTGTGTGTGTGTGTGTATATGTGTATGTGCATGTAGAATGTGAGTATCACCTTCAAACATCCATACATCCATATACACACACACACACATTATAGCGAAAGAAAAAAAGTAGACCTTTTCAAAAAAGAAAAAAAAAACAGAAACAGAAACTGGAAGGGGGAATTTACTTTATACCCCTCATACACCTCATCTGTATGCGGCACCGCAAAACAATTATCCTTGTCCAGCACCACGGCGCGGATATCCACCTTTTTCTCTTCTGCAGCAGCAACAACATCGCTACTACTGTCTTTACGCTGCTGCGGCGCCGCCGCAAACGCTTGCGACAGCGGAATCGGCAGCTGGTTGAATGTCGAGACTGTGTGCTGTGGTAGGCATAGCGTGGGGTCGCGCAGAAGCCGGAAGATGTTGAGTGTGCCCGATATGTTCATTGTTGAGAGAGAGAAGGGGGGAAATGCGGGAGGGGAGCGTTGGGGAAAAGACGCGGTTGAGGTGTTGGTGTTGGTGTTGGTGGGTGGGGATGGCGTTCCGAGCGTTCCGAGGGGGTTCCGAGATGCGTGGTGGAATGGAGTGGAATTGTGTGTGAGTGTTGGAGCGTATGGATGTGTAAGTGCGGTGGGTAGGTGGGAGGGCTGAAGGATTTGGGTTAAGATATGCGATGATGTGTTAGCGGACTTGTTGTTTAGAGGAATGTTTATAGTAAGTCAGCCTACCTACTTATCGCTTCGCGAGTGGGAATTTGACAGTGAAGATGTTATGAGAAGCTAACGATTTCGTCAAGTACAATTGGCTTATAAGTCTTGCTAATAGATTCTTGGGAAGATAAAGCCAAGTTGAAATACAGTCATTAGGAGTACTGATAAAAAATCGTGTACAAGCTGTATTCTGATGCTTCCTAGATGTAGAGGTATTCATGGTGTTCAATATCGAGCACGATTGAATGGTCTTTCCGGTCTCATTTTCTGAAAATGGACAGTATTGTGACAAATCAGATGAGTTTAGTTGTTGGAATAGTAGAATCATACTACTACATGAGCCATTTTGCGAGATACATAGAATATAGAGATGAATGTGGATGTGTGGCGCTGGAATCATCTGAAACCCCAAGCAAATCCACGTGAAATATTATTAGTATATCCTACAGCAGCTTGTTAGCAAGGAACTCAATTGTCATGGTTGCTGTAGGTAGATAGAGAACGGAAAGTCCCACAATGTGACTAAGCAGATGGTCCAAGCTCAACCTTCAACTTTCTGTAGACAGCGATATTGGCACGCGCAGCAGTCTACACCAAACGTATTCACCTCTGCAACCTGTGGGGGTTCCTGCCGCAATATCGATACTGCTCCGCGCATAAATACCGAAAATACTTCCGGCGCAACAAGTGCATCCATCCCACCATCGGCTCACACCTTTCGCGAACTTGACCGAGCATCTCGCAGCCTTTCGCACGCGCTGTTAGCTGTAACACCGACGACCTGAACCCGAGTTCTAAGCTGCAAAAATGACGAGCACCATCGGTATCCCAATCAAGCTCCTCAATGAGGCAGCAGTATGTGCTCCGCGCGCGCATTATTTTCTGGTTGCTGACAGGGAACAGGGTCACATTGTTACGCTCGAAATCACATCTGGCGAGGTCTACCGCGGAAAGCTGATTGAAGGTGCGCCCTTGAAACATCCACAACAACAAACACCTGTTAACGGACGGCAGCCGAGGACAATATGAACGTGCAACTGAAGGACATCACGGTGACCGCCCGCGACGGACGTGTCTCGCATCTTGAGCAAGTGTACATTCGAGGAAGCCACGTGCGATACTTTATCGTACCAGACATGTTGAGGTAAGTTTGGAGAATGGCTTCTCAAATTGAACTTAGGTCTAACAATACCAGGAACGCGCCCATGTTCCGATCGAGAGGCACTAGGGGTCGTGGTGTTGGTCTTGCGCGCGGTAGGGCTACAGTCAACAGGGCAAGGGCTAGTACTCGTGGAGGCGGTGGCCGTTGAACGACGTGAGGAGGTTGAGCAAAGAAACAACTTGAACGGAGCAGCGAGCCAGCAATCCCAAGCGCAGCGGCTGCGAGGATGCGCTCGACACAACGGATGGAAGACAAGGGGAAAACACCGACAGGTATGACACCAGATCACTATTGCTGGACATACGCTGAAAACGGGATAGCAAATTTGATGATACCTCGGACACGAATAGATGTTTGTTTTTACAAGATGCGAGGCTATGACGTGACGCGTGCTAGGCTGTATACATGTCGTTAGAGTACAGTCTGGGCGTAATCGATGTTTCTTTTAATCTTCGCAGGCTGTTGCCCCACAATCAAAGGTCAAGGGCTCACCCCCGAGAACTCCGCACCCGCCACTTTTCCACACGCCACAAGATGGATAGCATGGACAGCATGGACATTAAGAACCCGCGACGCATCCTTGCCGTGGGTGCGCCGGGCGCTGGCGTATTGCCGCTGCTCAAAGGTATTCACCATGGTTGTCGTTCTCCACCCTGCGCTGATCACCCTGCAGAGCTTACAGGCTCCGCCCCAGAGCCCACGTCCAATACCACCGCCGGGCTTACGCACGAATGGCGCCTCGAAACAAAATACTATACCGCGACCCTGCCTATATGGATCGATGAGCTACCCAATGTTGCAGAATGGCGCACCGAATTCACAAAGCCAGAAGCCCGCGAAGTCGTCACAGCGCTCGGCGCATGGGTATACTGCTTCAAGAAGCCAGTTGACGAGAAAGAACTAGACACTGTCAAGGAAACGATGCAGGCAATCTCTGATATAATTGAGCGCGCGTGTGGCTATGGCGGTGACATTGCGTGTCTAGCGGTGGCGATGCCGCAGTCAGTCACGCCATATCTAGACAAGAGCAATGAGGCATGGGAAGAGCTGGCCATGGAATACGGCTTTGAATATATTGACTCGGAAATCAAGGGCAAGAACGAGTTTGGCGAAGCGACAGGAGTCCAGCGAGTGCGGGAAGCACTGGAGGCAGCGGAGTGGGAGAGCACCGCGGGGTTGGATTTTGGGGACGACGAGGGATTCGAGAACAGCTTTGCGGCTGAAGAGGCTGAAATGAACATGGAGCTGTTCGACATGAAGAGCGCGCTTGCGGGGTATGATGGCGATGAAGAGGGGGAGACTGAAGACAACGACGTTGACAACCTCGAGGTCATGATGCGAAAGATGGTTGCTATCAAAGAGATGGGCGAGGGCATGGAAGAGGAAGAGCGAAAACGGTTTGCTGCCAGAGCCGTCAACGATCTGATGAAGGATTTTTGAGCGCGCATCCCCTTCTACATCTAGCAATGTCCCGCGCAATCGTCTTGTTACCCTTCCCTCAGCTCTTGACACCAAAGCAAATCAAAAACGGAAAATCCATCTCTCGTGCCGGCTTCCCGTCTTCAGCCTCGACCTCCTTTCTCAGAACAAACGCCTCTTCGACCTTCACCTCGCTGAACCCTGCTCCCGCCAGCAACTCCTCCATCTCCGTCTTCTTCACGCCATGTCTCTCTACCCCAGGCCTCTTACTCACCGGATGAAACGGCACTGCCTCGGGCCCAAAATCCTCGTAATCCGTCAACGCCACAACACCCCCTTGCTTCAAGCACTTGTACATTGTGGAGAGAATGTCAGACATAACCGGGATATGGTGCAGCGTCAGATGCGACACGACCAGATCAAAGCGATACGGCGGCTCAGCCACGTCTCCCCGCAGCGTCACCAACCGCGCCGCCGCACTCTGCAGCTCCTGCGCATCTGGATCCGTGAGGAAATGATTGATACAGCATAAATTAGGGTGCGCCTCCTCCTTTTTCGCCAGATCCGCCAGTTTCGTATTGAAGGCGCTGATCATGCCGTCGGCCGTGTCGACGCCGACTAAGCTGCGCACGTGCGGTGCCAGCATGAAGGAGAGGAGGCCTGTTCCGCACCCGATTTCCAGGACGTCGATGCCTGTGTGAGATAATTAGAAATCTTGTCTCTATCAGTTTTGCGTTCTTCCCCCTTTTGTTCTTCTTCTCGCTGTCCGTTTTTTGCAATTGTATGTACGTGGGGAATCGGAGAATGCAGAACCAGAAGTAAGTAATACAAAAAAAAATAAGCCCTTTCATACACTGAACGCCATCTGTCTGTATCCGTACAAACACACATACCTTTATTCCGCCCATCCTTGTGCAATGCAGGTACAATTCCTTGTATAGCCTCGAGTGCCTTGCCCGTCGACTCGACATGCTTGACGTTGGAATCCCATTCCAGCGCTTCTGCGCTGAAGCGCGCGTTGTTGATGTCTTGGTTGGACATTTTTTTTGTCTGCCTGCTTACGTATGTACTTGGCTGTTAAGTAGGCCGTGAAAAAAAAAGACTTGGATGAGTCGCACTAATAGTGATATGTATTATTGTAAGTAACGGTATCTGTGCATGTGCGTTGCGCAATCTGGGTTAAGTACATAGGTGGTGTGCGGGGGACGATGCGGGGCAACAGCACAGTGTTTCGGGGGTCAAGATAGGAGGAGCAGGCCGACAACAACGAGAATGACGACATGCAGGTTTCTCGGGAGCAAGCTAGTAATTCGCAGGTACAGGGTAATAATAAGAAAAGGGATAAGAACGATTGAATAGATATCTCGAGAGCGTGAAACCAGGTAAGTAAGTAAGGTTAGATCGGTAAGATAAATCGCCCTTTGCCCATACTTAATAGCCATGCATGTATACACTGCTGCGTAAAAAAATGAAACCCAATTGTTGATGTTTGTTATAGGAGGAGTTTCCATACCCGAGGACTCTGGTGTTTTAGATCTTGAAATCTTGATTCGTAAAGAGTATATATATATAGATACTGAAGCGGTGGGCAAATATACCTACCTAGCCATTCTACATACATAAAAACATACATACTATAAGCAGCCAGAAAAAAAAGAGTGAAAACTATATACAGTTAAGAATGGCCTCAACCCGCCCCCCTCCTTTACCTTCCTTTCTAATCTCCCCATCTCCCCCAGCCCCATCATCTTACCAACCCAGTCCCATCCATCTGGGCCGCGCTTCATCGCACTCACCCATCCCAGGTATACAACAGTGGTGTGTGCGCCGCTTAGTTAGCCGCAGTCCACAGCGCGGGGCCCGGGAAAGGGTACGAAGTGGGGTTCGTGTAGATGTTGAAGACAATGCCTGCCATGTCCTTTGTGTACAAGCTGGTTCCGGGGACGCCGTTGGTGGGCTTGACGGAGCCGTTGCCTCCGACTTTGATGTTCAAGCCTAGATAGGACATTAACACACCTATCACCTATCACGTATCTTACAGAGGAAAAAAAAGGGAGGGTAATATGGAAGGAAAAAGGGTGAGAGGGAAGGACGTACACTGAGGATACAGCTGAGCGCCATTCACATTCGAGCCGCTGTGCAGAGCGATAATTTCATGGCGGATGACATAGTTGCCTGCAGCGAGCTTCGACGGCAGCTTAGTCGATGTCTTGAACCCGTTCTTGATCATGTTGTCGGTGACCCAGACACCCGGGCTGACGATGGCTTCCTGCGAGAACTTGGACCAGCGGAGCGAGCCGGGGGTTAGCGTGGTGCAATCACCTGCGGAGTGCGGTTAGCTGGGTGAAATCAAGAGAGAGACGGAAAGGGGGGGTTAGAAAGACATACCATTGCAAGGAGCAATGTAGTTGATAATCGGCCCCTTGTGGCTGTCGGGCCAAGTGTTCCACACAAACTCGATGGTGTCGCCGGGGTTAGCGTTGGCATACAGGCGGCCAGCCGTGGCGCTCTTGTGGCAGTTTACGTCTACGGTTCCGGCGGCGGCAGGCTCGACAAAGCCCAGGTCTTGGTTCAGCGAGTCCCAACCGGCCGTCTGGGCACGGCTTTCCTTGGACAGGTAGTACCACACGGGGTCGGAGCCTTTGGTCGAGGTTCCGGCAATGTTGACGTTGGTGACGAAGCCGTGGGCGGAGACGGTGTCGAGGAAGAGGGCGGCGGCGCCGAGAAGGAGGGCAGAGGAGTGCATGTTGGAAGGAGTGGGGAGAACTGGTGCTTGGTAGTAGTGATTGTTGTTTGCACTGATGATAGCTTCACTGCTGCTTCTGCTACTTCTTATATGTTTACAGATGTTGTTCGTCAACGACTAAAGTCGTCACGATTGTCCCAGACAAATGCGGAGCGCCTCTCCTGATCGCGTTAGGTATGACAAGAGCCTGATAGTGGCATTAGATGACTATAAGCCCAACTACGGACTTGTAGCAGCAGACGGATAGCACACAGGTGTTAGTCGTGGCTTGTCAACACTCTAGTCTGGTGCCACGACCCTCGACACAGCTTCCAAGATGTTTGGCATTGGGAAATGTGACATGAAAACAGAGACATCGATATTGCTACGATATTATGTCCTGCCCCAGAATGTGGTTGTGGCTTGCAGCTGCCATGTGTAGACCTAGTTTTCCAGCGGCGTAATATATTCATCCCCGGAAAGCTCATCTAAAGTGCCGCTAGCGAGCAATATGTAAATGCCATACTTGGCGAATGGCAATGCGGCAGTGCCGAAAATGGCGTGGCTATGGTCACACGGGCTCGCTTTGGAGATCGTGCAGCCCATGAATATTCCGACAGTTACAGAGATTCACATCTTGTTACAAGAAATCGTATACCGTCCGACGTTCAGATAGTCGTTGGGAGGCACAGGCGATGCTCCTTGGCGTTGTTCGTATCGCTGTAAGTTGCGCCGAAGCCATCCTTGTATGCTGTTACGATGTCTGGGCAGTCACATTCGCAGCGCGCTTAGCATCGACTGACGCCTGTAGGTAGGATTGCCTCTTCTTGAATTCCAGAGTACCTGCGGCAGCAACAAAATCCACCTATGAAGGCGTGGCATGTGCAGGCTAACTCGGCAACGTAACCGCACTCTTTCGTCCGTTATTGCCGATGAAAAACTCACGATTCGCGATGTATTGGGTGTAGCCTGCTGCCAAGGAGGTTTTAATGATGGCCGGTCTGGCTGGGTGTGCCATGTGCTCTGAGGTGCGTGGCGCAGGATCAGTTTAGGCCGTGCACGCGTGGCAAGCGATGCTCCCACGTCAATGGTGGCTTCGTCCTGCTCTTGTTAGCATACAGATCAAGATGCTCGTGTGGCTGAGTAAGCATGTTGCACATTTCCAACCTCACATTGACTGAGAAGCCGTGAGCGAGTAGCTGAGCGCCAAGGCAGATGAGGGTTTGAGAGATGTTGGTTCGGAGTGGTAATGCGGCAGCATGTATGAAATCTCGAGCATCGTCTCGCCTTCGGACAGTGCTGTTCTAGGATGTAGAAGCACCGAATATAAAAGTAGAGGAAATTCCCGCAAGGCTTCAGTAAGCGGTATGACGGAAGATGTTGCGGTTTCTCACACGCTCGTTGGATCGATGTGAAGCACTGACGTGATGTTCGGGCCCTCGCCGACCACCCGACGGCCATGGTCTGTGTGCGGTCATCAGTCATCCTAATCCGAGCATTTTCCGCCATGTTGACAAAACAAGTGCGAATAAAATCTCAAACTAAAGGATACGAACATCTAGAATGAGTCAAGGGGTCATGGTGCCTTTACGATATAAGGAATCACTTGTTTCCGCAAGAATGCTTCCAAGCAAAATCCCTCCGCCTCCCATACCGGCACCTACTACGACTACACATCAACATGTCGACTCCCTGCGCTATGAGCGCCGGAACGCAAGATAGAAATGTCACTGTTTCGGGTATAGGACCTGCGCATAATGGCAGAACAGCATGTCAAGACAGTGTCGTGCTACCAAAATGGCTCATCCCCTCTGATCAACGGGGCTGGCGGCGACTAGTCCAGCACTTTACGCCTTCATGGGTACGTCAAACTCCAATCCACCATGAAGAAACAGAAACTAACAAGAAAATAGTTTGCAGCCACCATGGGCACAGGCATTGTCTCCGTTCTGCTACACACGCTGTCTGAGCTCTACCCGAATTACCATGGATCCCTACGGGTTCTCAGCATTGTTTTCTTCATCCTGAACATAGTTATATTCTCCGTCATCTTCACCATATCCATCTTGAGATACACCCTGTACCCGGCACTCTGGACACTGATGCTACAACACCCTGTCCAATCGCTGTTTCTCGGCACCATGCCCATGGGTTTCGCCACCATTATCAACATGTTTGTTGCCATCTGCGTGCCAGCTTGGGGTGGCTCAGCACCATATGTGGCCTGGGGCATGTGGTGGGTTGACGTTGTTGTTAGCGTGGCTTGCTGTCTTGGCCTCCCGTTCCAGATGTAAGTGCCAGTCTTCCCATCCTTTCTTCAAGATCTTGATCCCCGACTAACGCCTATTCAGGATGACAAAACATCGGCATCAACACGAAACAATGACAGCAGCTTGGCTTCTACCCATTGTTGCATGCATAGTCGCTGCGGCATCGGGTGGCGTAGTGGCTTCCGTTTTGCCCAACCAGAGGGATGCTCTCATCACCATCATTACCAGCTATGTGCTCTGGAGCATGGGCATCCCGCTTGCACTGGTGGTCATGACCATTTACTTTCACCGGCTTGCCATCCATCATCTTCCGCCCCAGGAAGTTATAGTCAGCGTCTTCTTGCCCTTGGGACCCATGGGACAGGGTGGCTATGCCGCAATGGAGCTTGGTATGCAAGCTGCCAAGGTTTTCCCAAAAACACACACGGTACATCCCATGGCAGGAGAGATTCTGTATGTCCTCGGATGGATAGTTGCCATGGTTCTCTGGGGCTTCGGACTCGTATGGCTTTTCTTCGCTGTAGCGTCCATTAGTCGCAGCAAGTTTCCCTTCAACATGGGTTGGTGGGGATTCACGTTCCCGATTGGCGTGTTTACCATGTCTACAATTACGATAGGACAGGAGATGCCGTCGGCGTTTTTCAAGATTCTGGGAACGGTACTAGCTGTAGGAGTTATGTTGCTTTGGCTTTTGGTCACGGCCGGGACAGTGAAGAACATTCTTCGCGGTAATATTGTTGTAGCGCCTTGTTTGAAGGAGATGGAAAAGAAAGCTGCTGCGGAAGCGGAGAAGAGAGCGTATCGGGATGCATGATCTGATTATGCGTGTATATACTTTACTAGACCAATTGGATGAGCAATCTGTTTCCTTTCAGTCATGACCCGCTAGACTCTTGAAGATGGCGTGGAACATCGAACCCATGATTCCAGGGGTATCTAAAAAAGCAACACGGTCGTCTCTTTATATGCCAATGTTGAGACGAAAAGTCCAGACTATTGTAGCCGCTGACAGCATTCAAACTCGTGTGAAATACCCTGCGGTCTCCGAGTCCAAAGTGGGTTCGCTGTTCCGTGTCGGAGAGGAGTGTCAAGCATCGCTGGTTCGCTGACAGTCGCTTCCAGGCAGATTCCATCGCGACCCGTCACCTCAGCAAGGGTGGTCAATTTTTGTGCTGGCGTACAGTATAACTTTCTCCATACTCAAAAGAAGTCTAGCCCGTTCCACCAGACGTAACCACCCACGGCGAGCGCACTGGTGGCTGCAAAGGGCAGGCTCATCTCCACAACGCTCCAGATCCACAATGTACCAATCGGAGGGGCCGACTTCATGACGTAGAAGTAGCCGTTTTTGTTTCCCGAATATATCAGGTAGCATCCTGCTGCGATGGAGCCTACGAAGAATGCAACGTCTCGGATCATGGGGAAGCGGTAGGGAAATTCAAGGTGGGTGAGGTAGACCAGAAAGGCGAAGATGGGCAGTGCCGTGGCAGCTCGCCAGAAAATCTCAGGCCAGATGATATCCTCCCGGTACTGGTTGTATACCAGGATGTCGAGGGTGAGGTGTAGGGTGGCCATGGAGATCGAGTAGAGGATCGAGTCGCCCAGAGGACCGATCGGAGGCACTTCATCGTCGGGGACGGTTCTTGCGGCTGCCCGTGCCTTGGCGGCTGGCGTGTTGGGATTGGCCTTGTCGAGCTCCCGTTGTCGCTCTTCTGCCAGGTCGAAGAGCGTCTTGCCGGTGGGCTTGGAGAAGTCGGGATGTCTCAGAATCATCTCGACGCCATCCTCGTCAATCTCGGTCGTGGGCTCGAGCCCGGCTCCGGTCGCTCTCGCAGCGGACACGGCGTCTTTGGCGCGCCGTTCTTTTCTATTCGACATGGCGGGGGTGGGGGGTGGAGGTGAGGTGAAGAGTGCCGAAGTGTTCGCGTGCGCGGCTCCCTGCCATGTCCAAGATGACGTGGGTCAAAGCGCGTTCACGTTCGTTCCAGAACGCCCATGGCTTCCGCTGCATCGCCCGCACCATTGACACGGCAGCGGTGCGCTCCTTTGTATCCTCCCGTTACTATACGCGTTCCCAAGGGGCTGCGTAATGAATTGGACCGTTTGGGCGTCGGTGCCCGTTCTCGTCTTCGCCTTCTGGATGTACGCCAGCGCCCTCGCCTCAACCTTCCCCACGCTCGAGAACAAACGCATCGTGCTGTTGATAGCGCATCCCGACGATGAGGCCATGTTCTTCGCCCCGGCTTTGCTGGCATTGACGCGTCCGGAGCGTGGCAACCACGTCAAGATCCTGTGCCTGAGCAGCGGTACGGCCCAATTGCGCCGCATCTCCTGACCGACAGACAACGGCTAACGTGAGCAATGCAACAGGCGATGCCGACGGGCTGGGTGAGGTGCGCAAGAAAGAGCTAGTCAAAAGTGGGCTGCAACTGGGCATCGGCAGCAAGCAGGACATTCTCGTCATCGAGGACAAGTATGCATGGCAGCCTGTCCCGCCGCGCGCATTGCGTTGCTGATTACGGGCCAGGAACTTTCCCGACTCCATGACGGCAACATGGCCCCCTCGGCTGATCGCCAATGTGCTCAGCACTGCTTTCGCCCCAAACATGTCGTCCACCTCCCCCAAGGATGCACCGCAGGCGACGGTCGACGCCATCATCACGTTTGACGCACACGGCATTTCGGGCCACCCCAATCACAAGTCGCTCCATGCCGGAGCCCACGGCTTTCTCAAGGCGCTCATGCACCGACACAGCGGGTGGGAATGTCCCATCAAGCTGTACACTCTGACCACGACCTCGATATTCCGAAAATACCTCAGCTTGCTGGATGCTCCGGCCACCTTGATTGGCGCAATTGTCCGTAAGAAAGAGCTTGGGCGCTATCCCACTCCACTCCTGTTCGTCAGCTCGCCGGCCAGGTACAGGACTGCGCAAAAGGCCATGACGACTGCGCATGAGAGCCAGATGCGCTGGTTTCGTTGGGGCTGGATCACCTTGTCACGCTACATGGTGCTGAATGATTTGAAACTAGAAAAGACACACTAGCAGCTAATGCTGGCTGTCCATGGTGCGTGGCCGCGGCAAGGAACCGGGCCAGCGACAGAGCGAGCATGTCGGTGGTGGTGGTGGTGGTCCTCCTGGTGGTCCTGCAGGTCTCGTCTCGACGACACGACGAGTCGATTGGCTGGCCAGGACCAGCATGGGGGTTGCTGACCTTTCGGAGACGGTTCCCATAGGCGGGTTACGCAACAGCGCATGCAGTGTTGCCGACAAACAAGGAGCGAACACCCAGGCCGAATTACCCAAAGGCCCTGAGGTTGTGTCACGACCAAGAGAGGCAAGTCGGAAGTCGGAAGCAAATCCGCGGCTCACAGCTCCACCCGTGGCCCGCTCGCAACGCCCTTGCACTGGCGGGAGTGCGGCATGGGAGCTCCGTGTAATTGCGACCACCCTCCCCTACGCGCGAGGCCTCAATTCAAATATGCGACCAGCCTTCTTGATATTACACCATGTTCTAGCGTGCTCATCGTGTCCATACGCCATTCCACCGTCTTACGCCCGCCCCGTACAAACAGACGGACGGCAGCCTGCTTCTTGATCGCTCGCATTCACGTGCCTCGAGCAGCAAGGAGCAAAGCATGCAGTGCGAAGTGTCAGCCACACCATCTCGGTTTGCGTGCTCCGACAGTAAGCCGGAAGACTGGATTTTTGCGCCCTCTCAACTGACGCTGCGGGCATTAGAAAGCGCGCTTCTGAGACAAGACCAAGTGGCACCCAGCCGAAGCCCATGTCGAGCTTCACACACTACCCTGGCAGCACCTGTCCTTCGCTTGCCAGTCGAGCTTCATTTAGACATCATCAAACGCCTCGACATACGCGATAGAGTCAATCTGGCCTCCACAAATCGCTATTTCAGGTTCATCATCCCCCCGCTGACACATGACGAGCTCTTGCTCGCAGAAGAGAGCGCGTGGGCCAGGTCAGGCCAGCTATATGTCTGCAAAGGCTGCGTCAATTTCCACAGCTGGGCAAGCTTTGCCGACAGCATGAGGAAGGGCAAATGGTGTCGCAGTGGCATGTTTGCAAATTCAAGACTATGTCTGAAATGCGGGGTAAACAGTGCGTTGTACACTCCAGGCATTCATCTCACAATTTGCAATCGCGCACACGTACTCTGCCGTACATGTCAGCAACTGACCGACCAGATTGGCCATCACGGCATGTGTGCTGCATGTTCTCCCAACATGCCGTCAAATCGCCGGTCCCAGTACTTTGACCACGAGGATGAATGGACGTACACGACTACTCGCATGCCTGATCGCAACCACATGCAAGAATTCAGTCATTGGCCTGAAGGGCAGCTATCCAGGTATTGATTTGTGTAAATGGTTCGGTATGTCGGGATATACACGATTACTGTAACGGCCGAGCATGACTACATTTTCTACACGCTTCCTCAAAATGATGCCGTTCATCATAACCATCTGGCCTGGATTTTGATGGTTGAAAAGTCTATGAGTATTCCGCTGCTGTATTAATAGCGCTTATACTCACGTTTGTCGCTACGGCTCTTCAATACATCGTTCGTTTCCACGTCATGGCTGCCGTCAGTATTCACACGCAGTCTGTAGCTCTTAAGAGGGTGCATGGGGCGAACTGCACGTCTTGGAGCTTTAACGATTGATTTTCAAGAAGCATACCAGATGCTCCAAGATTGGGGTATCGACACATTGTAAAATCGGTCATCTCCTCATTGCCAATACCACTGGCAAACCAATACCACTGAACATGGCAGATTCAAAGCCGACAAGTAGGCCTACTTCACCCGAAATAGTGCGCCCTGATACTTTGAGGAGGCGCATCTCCTTGGGTTTCAACACTTTGGTTTCAGCCCTTCCGCTGCGAAGAAACACTCCCCAGCAAGAGCCACCTCCCCGTCCAAAAACCGCGCCTACGCCAAACCAGCCGCTTGTTCGCCCGAACGTGGATACTGCCCAACGCCCGGAGAGGAGGGTTCCGATTCCTCCAATACACATTCCTTCTTTGGCCGAACCTGAACAGCCATGTCCTTACGACGAGACCAAGTATCACTCATTCTCAAGCACTGAGCGCCGCCGATGCACCTTTTGCGGCATGCGACCACCTTCCAGACTCAGCTCCAGCTCGCCATGCAAGGAATGCCGTTCCAGGAGCCCATTCTCCCACATGAAACTAGGCTTTGGCCATAGACCTAAACTTAGAGGCAGGAAGGAAGTCAAGCCTTCAACGCTAGAGGCACCCGAAAGAGAGCAAGACTCGTCTGACGACGAAGGCCCACGCATTGTGCCTCGTGAGATTGCCGCTAAGAGAATCGGGAATCCGCCTAGGAAAGCAGCACTTCCCGTGCCTCGAGCAGGCGCTCTGAACAACAGTCTAGATCCGCTTACTGAGCACCCGCCGTATCACTCCACAAAACGGACTTCAGCCTCACCCAGCAAAATTGCTGATACCGCGCGGCCTCAAGCCCATCACGTGAGACCCACAAGCCCCAGACTGCATTATCTCCATGGCTTACCTGACTCAAAGGCATACCCTTATGTGCGCAAGAGCGAAGTCCAACAGCATTTTGCCGCTCTTCGCGCTGGCTCACCCAGCCCACTAGCCGAGTTTGCGCTGGCGGCTGAGCAGCAAAAGAGGAAGCAAGATCGCAGCGCCGACTTCTCAGAGACAGTGTACTATGGCAGGATCCCCAAGCCCGCGCTTGTACCTGAGATGGAGAAGCGGGATTGTCCGGAGCAGCCTGGACGCAGCAATGTTGTAGTTGTTGTAGAGGAGGAGACGCTGCAGCTAGGCGGACACATTGTCATTACAGAATGTGTGGGATTGGAACAGCAGCACGATCTGGATGAGCGGCTGCACAGCAGTATGCATGCTACAGCTGTTGAGCATCAGCACTCTCAACCGCGTTTCTTCAGACTGTTCAGCAGAAGCAATAGCCGTGCTGCGTCTCCCGCTTCAGACTCTCCGACGCCCAGAGACGCTGAACCCATCGTCAGGCTGAGAGGCGGTGATGACACACACAACACCGCGTATCCTTCTGGCTGCGGACTCCTGCTCAAGCAGCTTCTCCTCACATGCCACCGCCCGCGTCGAGGAGGCACCCAAGACACAGACTCCAGCAGCGACGAGCATGACTCGCCACCGCGAATCGCGGATCCAGTCAGAATTGCTTGCGTGAAGCGTAGGAACACGGGTACCGCGCGTCTGCCGAGGAATATACAGCGCCGAGACGCTGTATCACGGACAGTAGCGAGGAGTAGGACTTTTTCCGTATCTATCCACAGAGATGGAGATGGAGATGCAGATACAACGACTGTATCCTCACCGCGAACAGCGACTCCCACAACTACCCATCGCACCCCCGGGTCTCCCGCCCCCTGCATCCCGCCATCATCGTTCCGCTGCCCTTCCTCCCCTCTATCTTTGCCCTTGAAATCTTGCTCTCACTCCAATAAACAGACCCCAACGCCAGCTCTACCTCCAGTTCCAGCGCCACTGGACCCGCCCTGCCTCAGAGGCGGCGCCGGATCCCCCTCGACGCTCCGCAACAACGACACCCTGCCGCCAACGCTGTTCTGGCTTGCGGGCGGAAGCCGCAGGCCCGTCGACGCGGCACGCTGGAAGGCGCGGAAACCACAGACGAGGATGGGTGGGTGGCTTGGGTGGGCGGTGTATGGGTTGAATGGGGGTAAAGGGGGTAAGGGTGAGAGTGAAAGAGATGGGAACAGCGGAGAAGCGGGGAAGGGTGGGAGGAAGAGAGGGAAGAGTCATTTGCAGAAGGAAAAGGAGATGCCGATTGTAGGGTCGCGTGCGTCGGTGAGAGGGGGTGTGGCTGCTGAGGCTGCGGTGGGTGCAGAGACAGGCGGGCATGTGGCGTCGGGTTCTGGGCAGGAAGGTGGTGGAGGAGAGGCGGAGACAGCCGTTCAGCAGGGTGCTGTGTCTGAGTAAAGGGGTAGTAGGTGGAATTGTTGGTGTAAGTGTGTGTGGTAGATAGCAATTCACTACATGTCTCCTATCGTGCACCCTATTCCGTTGTGAAGTCCGCTGGTTGAAATCATGTGTAGAAAAAAAGTATACTATGAACGGAGCCTTTGATGTCTTACTTTCCTCCAATATGGCGAGGTAGGTTCATTGAATATTCTGTACATCCATCTGGTGTCGAATCAAGGCGCGCGGCCTGATAAAGAGCCACTACTTCGAGACCCAGTGGAAAGTATCTTACAACTCAAGGCCTCGGGTAGACATTCCCCAATACGACTACTTTACATTCTCATTTCGACGATTTCTCCTGTTCTTGTGTGGCCTTTACTTGGCGCTGAGCCTCCATCTGCGCAGCCTCCTTCCTCAAAGCCTCAATCTTGTCGTCGATGACGGCAATCTCCGCCTCAACGCGTAACAGCTTCTCCTGCATCAGCTTGTCGTAGTCTTCATCAGTCAGCACCTGCATGGGACTCCACTTGCTCTTTGCAATCTTGTCCATGAGCGTCTCTTTGGGCTTTTCTTCACCGCGAGCTTTCAGCTCTGCTTCCTCGCGGAGTTGGCCAGAGTGCCTATCATCGAGGTAATTGTAGCCATGCTGGCCGAGCCAGCCCAGCGTGCTGAACATGAGCGTGCCGGGGATAACGTTACGGGGACCTCTGAAGAGAAAACCTAAGGTGAAGCCTGTGGATCCACCAGCAATGGCTGAGGCGCGGACTTTATCCGAGCTGGAAGGGTTGAGATCATTCCGGGGGTGAATGGGTGCACCGCGGGTTATGTTCCACCAGTTTAAGAGGCCGCTGTGGTTGAGGATGGAGGCGCGGAAGCCCCAGAAGGTGGTTCCGAGAGCAAACCATTGCGCTCCTGATGCCAGGGAGAACAAAATGGGTGTCTGTGTGCGCAGAGTGCCGTAAAAGGCGCCAATCACCGTACCGGGAATTGCTGGGGGGAACAAATTTGTTAGCTCATATCGAGTATGTGAAATTGCCTCGAGATAGAGTTTCGAAAAACTTCAAGCATGATGATGATGATGATGGGAAAACTTTTTTTTTGAGATTCATACATCAAACATGGACGGGCGTCACTTCGGTCTGCTTTCGGATTCGTGTGGCGCCAGAATTCCATATTCCTGGCACAATGCATGTTATGGAATCAAGAATGACACGTGTGTGACAACTTGTCCATAATGCTTGATGCAACCATGGTAGACATGCTTGACATTGTGCAGCTTCAAATATCGAGCACAGCAAGCCGGTGTTCAGGCAAAAAAGTCGGATTTATACGTACCAGAGGCTCCACCGACCAAGGCGGCGTGCTGGGCCAGCTCGAGAGGATGCGTGACCTGCGCTGGGTCATATTTGGTGTTCATAACTCTCGCATGGATGCAATGCAGAGTCTCGGGATGCGGGGCCACAGAGAGCAGATCTAGACTCGGCGTTGTGTGGATGGAGGGATTGCAAAAGTGATTCCGGATGACATAAGCGAGGCCCAACGGACGCACAGCTTAAGATTTCCGTTCGGGAACGAAGAACTCACCCCACACACGAAACTACGACACACCCCGCAGCCAAACACCACGCAGCCCGAGAGTACCAGACGCTCTCAGCACTCGAATCAGACAGCGCGCGAAAAATAAAATCGTCCTGCGCGCGTAGTCTGACCAGCCGCAATCATGGGTGAGTCTATCCTGCCGTGCGCAAATTGCAGGCGTCACTTTCTTCGCGAGCCGGCTTTTTTTTGCCCCGCTCGGTACGGCGACGAGCACGACGACGCAAATGGCTAACGGTGGTTTCTGCAGCGCCCAAGAAGAAGGAACAGCAGAAGATGTCCCTGGGAGACTTCCTCGGTGACCAATGTACGCCTCGTCCCCCCTTGGCCTCGTGCCCTTTTGGGCCGCAGACGACTGACGGAATGCAGCGCTGGGATCATGGTCGTGCTGTCAGTACTCTGTACAGATGGTGGAGAGGCAGGATGGCATACGAGGCTCGGCGACGCTGACGCGGATATTCCTGCCCTGGAACGATGTGCCAGAGAGGTCAAGAGCCTTCTTCAGTCCATCTACACTGCCAAACTCGACGTATCCAAAACCCTTGGGCTTGCGGTCCAGCTTGTCCTCGACAATGCGAACGTTGGTGACTTCGCACCCGGCGAAGAAATCGGTTACGTCACCCTCGGTGGCGTCAAACGACAGGTTGCCCAAGTGCGCCGTGTATGGGGGCTTCGAGGGCAGAGGAAGGGCCTCGCGAGTCGCGAATCCGCGGTCGGCTGCACCGTCGTTAGCGCATTGCCCAAGGCCGTCATGCAGACGTTCTACCCACCAAAACTGCCGCCACGGTCAGCACCAAAGCCACCACCAGATCCGAACGTGGGCCTGTCGCCTCCGTATCCAGAGCGGCCGCCGGAACCTGCAAGGCCGTTAGTATCCAGGCAGCAAAGAGTCGCGCGCCAAGTGTCCGCGCGGGGGGGGGGGGGATTTTACCAGTGCCTGCGAGCGTTAGCACCCCGAAGACGACGACAGCGTGGCGACGTGGACAAACTCACCGGGCATTGGCGCATCCTCCATCTCGTCGGCCAGCAAAGGACCGCCCAGAGGCCCGAGACATCTCGGACTGGACCCGCAAGGGACCTCTCCCCGACCTTCCAGGCCAGCGCAGCAGCGCCGGACGAGGCGGCTTCGGTGCAGGCCGCGACCGTGGCTTCGATGCAGGATCAGATGCCGGTGGCGAGCGCAGTGAACGCCGCCGCCCACCCCCATTCGAGGGCGACGGCAAGCCCCGTGACTTTGGCAACTGGGAGCGCCGCGGTCCTCTGTCGCCAGCCCCTGCACCCGCTCCAAGTGAGGGCGGCCGCATGCGAGGCTTCGACGGAGCACCCCGTGAGGGACGCAGACAATCTCCGGCCTGGGGTGAGGGCCAAGGCGCTGATGGCTCACGCGGACCTCGTCGCGAGTTCCAGGAGAGGCCGCCCGTTGAGAGGCAGCCTACTGCCGCAGATACTGACAACCAGTGGCGGTCCCGGATGCGCCCCGACGCGCCTGTCAAGTCGCCCACATCTACACCCGATGTCAGCACACCATCGTCGCCAGCACCTCAGCCTGCTGCTCCTGCCGGCCGACCCCGCTTGAACCTGGCCAAGCGAACAGTTTCCGAGGCCCCATCGGCCCCAGGAAGCGCCACTTCCTCGGACAAGCCCAACCCGTTCGGCGCTGCTCGTCCCATTGACACTGCTGCGCGCGAAAAAGAGATTGAAGAGAAGAGGCAGTTGGCTCTCCGCCAAAAGAAGGAGGCCGACGAGAAGGCTCGTGAAGAGCGCAAGGCAAAGGAGGCTGCCGACAAGACGGCCCCCAAGGACTCAGCACAGCCGACGCCGACCAGCAAGGACGAGAGCAGTGCCGAGGAAAAGGCCAAGGCCAACTTTGAGATTCTGCAGCGTGTCGATGAGGGCAATTCGGCCGGCCAGGACGAAGACGCCGAGGGCGAGATTGTCCACGACAAGGAAGTCAAGCCAAAAGAGGTTGTGCGCAACCCACCAAAGACGGAGGCAGGCTCATGGAGGCGGCAGTCCAACACGCCGGCCACACCAGCCTCGACTACCGAGACCATGGACGAGGATGGCTGGAGCACCGTGACCAAGCCAACCAAGAATGTCAAGAACAACCGGCGAGGTGGAGGTGCGCCAGCTCGCGCGATTGCGTCTTAGGTGGGCGTGTCGACTGGTTGAGACTGGCCCTGATTCTGTATCCGGGATGCTCGCAACGCATAGAAACGGCGTGGTGGAGTCGTTTGTCTTTCTAGGCCTGTGCTGTCTGTTACAGTACGATTTGTTGGGCGATCTTCCGGTATTGTTGCATTACTGCACTACATTGTCTTTTGTCTTATGCTTCGACAGCCCTGTTCATCCGAGCGCGACTTGCAAGGCGTCCCGTGGCTGCTCAGGCCGGGCATGTGTTATGAGCCTTCTTTCCTTTATGCCCGATGACGACGCTGTCCCTAGACGCTTCTCGTCTACAAAAGTATTGGTCTTTCGTCTTGGACCTTGCGGATCCGGTAAAAACGGGACATGCCATTTTTCTCAGATATTCCCCTTGCACACAGTTCGCCTGTTGGTAGGATGAGCCATGGTGTGGTTGATTTCCGCGATGGATTTCTGTTCATTATCAGATGATATAAGTGTGCAAACATGTATTTAGCTGCGACTAGATTATGAAAGGGTCATCCACTCCACTCAGGCTTGCATAGTTGAAATCTCGACTCATCGTGACTAGAGAGGGAGCTTGAGAAAAACCAATTTACAGAATGAAACACGCAGTCGATGCTAATGGGTACTAAGGCTCGAGTGATGGCCATTGACGTTTCGCGTGTGGCGGTCATGCACACCCTGGTCCGTCCGCCACCATACGTCAGACATGCTCAGCTTGTGTCCAAGTCCGACATCTTGCTTTAGCACCCGAGCTACCAACATCCTCCCCTGACGCCCATCACAGCTGCCATTCGTGAGCGAATATCTGTAGCAGAATCACAGATATCTGTTGTCTTTTACTTCCGATTCTAAATGATCAAACACCCCCTATCCTTTTTGGCTGATGTTTGGTGAAGTTCCGTGGTGTGTATACACGACTTAGCATTGCTTCAGGGATTAGAGACCCTGCCGACATCATGCCTTCTAAGCCCTCGTCACCAGGGCCAAGCACAGCCCCAGCAACACCCGCAAAGCAGACCAGATCCCGAAAGAATACTATTCCAAATCAGACGGAGCAAGCAAGAGCAGGCTCGGCAGGCGGTGTCCTGCTTCCAAAGGAGACGGCAGCGAAAGCATCTCCTCCATCTACAAAGAAAGCCACAGCAACAACAAACCCAGGTGTAGAAGATGCATCTGCAACAGAAGTCAAGACACCAAAGAGAAAGCCCAGAAAGCTGAACAAGGATCCTACGTCAAACTCGACAGACACGGCCAAGTCTTCTTCCACCTCGAACCAAGCCTCAAGCGAGATTGCCTCGAACTCGGAGCTGGAAGCTCTCAAGTCCCGTGTTAAAGGGCTAGAGGCAAAGGTGGAGGAGTTGTATAGGTCGGGTACCATTCTCGATTCCCGAGCTGGGCGCTCGCCCCGTCGACGAGGAAAAGGGCGAAAGACATCATCCACTACGCAAGTTCCTCAGATCAAGACGACAAATGGTGAAGGCACTACCGAGGCGAGAGTCCAAGAGCTCGACGACGACGACGACGACCTAGACGCCGATGAAGAGCTCGTCCGTCTCGAAGGCGAACTCGAAGTCGCCCGCCAAGATCTCGAGCACTACCGCCCGCGAGCCCGCCGCTCACGCTCCGACGGAACAGACTTTGTAGAAGAAATACCCAGGGCCGGGTCTGCAGCCACGGACCGACAAGTCACACTGAGCGGCAGCTACCGCATCCCGATCCCCGCGTCCGTCAATCTTCAAGACGTGCAGACGATCAAATCCGGTGTCTCAGCCGCCCAGAACGTCGCGCGTTCGTTCCTCGAACAGCGCCGTGCCTCTGCTGCTGCTGCTGCTGCTGCTCGCGCCCAATCTAGTACCACTCCAGAAACAGCTTCGTCGTCGTCGTCGTCTCATGCCACTCCCCGTGCGTCGACGACAAAAGTCCCTGTGTCCAAGACGCGGCCCAAACGCAGTATGAGTTCTAATATCGAAGTAGCCGTGGATAATAGCACCGGCAAACAGAGCTGGAGCGACTGGATTGGTGGGTACAGTATGGCGATCACAAGGGCAGTCAGCAAGATTGAGCATGAGGCGGCGATTGAGGCGCAGAGAAGCGCTGTTGCTGCTGCGGGTAGTGCCAGGCAGTCTAGTGCCCCGACGAGTAGGAAGGCGGCTGGGAAGCGGCCGGCTGCAAAGGCTGCGTTGAGCGGAGAGCAGGTGCATGGCCTGATGAGTTGAGGTGTGGTGGAGGAAATTGTATCTCAGAGGGTGAGTGTGTTGGGGGAAAAGAGCGACTTGTTGTGACTGAAAAGTTGTCGAGGAGATTTTTTGTACGTGTGTACTTGTGGAGGTAGTCCTGGACTCAAAAAAAAATAGATGCGTGTTTGTTGCTGTCTACATCTTACTACATGTATGTCCATGTCGACGATTGCTGAGAAGATAACAGCGGACTTGAAGCTGGAGACTCAATTCTACTCAACTCAACTCAACAGCACACTATGCTGCTTTACCTTTGAATACAACAAGACTAGTCACTGCCCATCTATTGCTGGACCTCAACAGGCGTGCCCCCCTGCCCCCCGCTCTTCAAGCACGCCTCCAGAACCTGCAAGTCGCTCAGCGCCTCCTGTGGACTCTGCATCTCATTCGGGCACCCCTGTTCCAAGCTCTGCGCCCAAGCCTTGATTTCACTCTTGACGCCATTGCCCTCACCGGGGAACTCACGAGTCTCCTCCGCGTCCTCCCGGCCCTGTCTGCGCACCACGACTTTGCCGCGCGACACATGCACCGTGCCACGCTCACACGCAACCAGATACTCAGACGCCGAGTCGGACGTGCCGAACGAGACGGAAAAGGTACCAGAGGCGCCGTTGTCCAGCTGCAGCGTCGCATTGAGCGTATCAACGGGCGGTAAATGCGGTTGCAGCTGCGCGGTAAAGGCGGCTGCTTTTGTGATTTTGCGCCCGCCAGCCCCATGCAGCAGCAGTCGCGTCGCAGCGACAAAATGTATGCCGCCGTCGAGCACAAAGCCGCCCTGGTACTCTGGTTTCTGGCGCCACGACGTCTCGTAGTACTTTGAGCCTGCGTGCACCATGGCGGCGACACGCACGCCAAAGGTCAGCACGCGGCCGAGCGACGCGAGTTGCTGAGCCGCCCATGTGAAGGAGTCGAGGAAGCGGAAGTTCTCAGCCACGCGATATGTAGCCGAGGCATTCTTGGCATCACAAGTCCAGGATAAGAGCGACTGTGCCGTGGCGACGTCGTGTGCTATGGGCTTCTCGGCCAGCACGTGTTTGCCTGCTGCGAGGGCTTGTTTGATGTATGTTGGTTGTGCGAGGATGGGGAGGCTTTTACGTACGTACGTAGGGCTTTGTTAGCGCTGATACCCACAAGTACACTCTTTTATCTGTAACTTTCAACGCCAGGATGGGGTGTCTTTCCACTTACGCAATCACTACGGCCTGGATGTCGTCGCGCTGGAGTAGATCGTCGAACTTTTTGCCGTCGTCCTGGTCGTCGCTGTACAAGGCGACGTCTGACAGCTTCTCGGCGAGCGCTTGCGCGGATTTGAGCGTGCGCGAGTATACGGCTTTGAGATGCAGACTGGGCGTGTCCTGGATGGCGGGGAGATGCTCTTCTTTGGCGAAGATGCCGCTGCCGATGAGTGCGATGCCGATTGCCATTGTTTCTTGGAATCGATTTCGCAACCTTCAGGCTGGTCTTAGCAGAGTCCAGATGTGGAAGATTCTTGAGAGTCTCTTTTCCTTTTTTTTCCTCCTCTCTCTCTCACCCCCTGGGCTTCGATGAAATACCTATATGCTAGTCCTCCAGACGGCTGTACTGCGGCTAAATAGGGCAATCTGCCGTCCTGGTCCGTCTATGATGGCACTTTTTTTTTAGTATTCTTTCAATCGCCTTTGCCATGGTGGCCCGCCGCGGGGAGATTCGTGCCGCTACCCCACGATGCCATGACGTCGGGAGCCATTCCCAAGACGGCAGGGCGAACAGCCCTGCCGCATGTTCGGATTGGGTTCCCTCGGACTGGCCCGTGTTAGTATCCAGATTCAGTCGTTGATGTTGAAAGATTCTACAGCTCCACCACTGCGAAAGATACCGAATAGGGCTAGCGCTGTGAAATTTCTTCCAAGCTGGCTGAGCACTCTGCTCGTACATTGGTGTGAGGGCTAGCGGGGGAGGGGGGGGAGGATACATACATGCGAGACATGCTGCGTGGTGGCTGTGTCGTAATGCCTAGGTACTTGCCACGCCCAACAACATGCAGCACTCGGGAATATACGTATTCTCTCTGCGTAAACCTCGACGTGTTCGTATCAAGTCTTCCAAATACATGGCCACCGAGCCCGCGTCACCCCCCCAAAAAAACGACCGTGTCACCCAGCAGCGTGGGTTATTCCAGACGCCTAAGAAAGAAAAAAAAATGGAGCAAGCCGGCAACAAAACGGTCTTGGGAGCTGAAATCGCCCCGGCTTGACGATTCGTGTCAGGGAGTGGCATCTTGTCTCGCGTTGAGGCCTCGCTCCATACAACACGCCACTAATCCAAAACAAGGCTCCACCTTTGCGTGTCTTAGCAATTGCTTATCCACGGCTGAGAGATGGTGGCAAATGGACACCTTCACGTCACGTATCACATTCCACAGCCTTTGCATTCGACGCCGGCGGGGAGGTACACACGTATACCTAGTATGAAAGGGGGTGAGAGAGAGAGGGCCGTGCATATTACTTTGCTCGTCGACAAGACAGCCAGATGCGGGTTTTGATTTGGAGCCGTACCTCTGAATCCCGCATCGGGTGATGTATATGGTGTTGTTAGAGAACAAGCAGCATGGCGCCGCATACTATAGCCATGCAGTTCCCTTCCCGCGCTCTCTCTCTCTCTCTCTCTCTCTCTCTCTTCTCTCTGGACAGTGCTGACAGGGGTGAAACATGGACTGTGTTGAAGGCGACCAACCCCCCCAGGCGCCGTCCCCAGCGGCTCCATGCTTCGGCAGTTGGTTTTTTACGTCTTGGGCCCAGGCAAACGACGATTTAGCAGTGCCGATGGACCGCCTGGTCTGGTATGCTTCAGTCTCGTTTCGTGGGGCCAAGGAGTGCCCTGGTTATACAGCCTTGTGTATACAATGGCCGTGGGGTTGATAAGGCAGGATATAGCCCCCCCTCCCTTCCTCTTCTAGGGAGAGGACACTTGTAGAAGAGCTGGCCTCGCATTTATCGTTGTGCTTGTGTTGTCTCTTTTCCACTCTCTACACTTTTTTTCTTCTCTTCTTTCTTCTGCTAGACGCAGGGCTGCCGGCAGTCGTTCTTTCTTAGCCTTCTTTCGTTTATACGCATTTTTTTTTACTTGTTCTCTTGTCGGCACGCTTGCTCTCAGCTGGTTGAAGATGGGCTTCGGTATTCTGGATGACCGCCATATGGCGTCCCCTCCAGGGACGTCTACGATCAATGACTCGGAGCCAGTTGGTGAGGTCTATCGATAATCGTCATGCTGTGCTGTCCTGACCAGATCGCAGTGGACTCCAAGGTCGACTCGAGCGCACTGAAGCGCGATGGAGACATCATTCTGCAGCCACAGCCATCCAACAGTCCAAACGACCCACTGAACTGGTATGCCATCCAGCCATCACAACCCCATTCCACACATCTAACAGCCCAGGTCGCCCATCCGAAAGGAGTGTATCATGATTCTCCTTGCCTTCAGTTCCGGCGTGACAACAGCGTAAGCCCAACTCTGTATCACACACACACACACACACACTTCACCATACTAAGACAGTCCATAGACTAGGACCCATGGTAACGCCAGGCCTCCCGCTTCTCGCCATGAAGTACAAAGTAAGCATCGACATGGTTTCGAGTCTGATCATCGGGTTCCTGGCCTTCTGGATCGGCTTCACGACTTTCTTCACGGCGGCCGGAGCCAATATCTGGGGCAAGCGCCCCTTTTTCGTCATCTCGGCTGTGGTTCTGCTCGCGACTAACATCTGGGGATTCTACACGAGGGTACGTTTTTGATACCAGAGACTGGCGGGTGGAATTTGACAACTAACCCAAATATTAGTCGTTCATTTCTCTCGCCGTCATGCGAGTCATCCAGGGTATTGCGTCTGCGCCGCTCGAAACGCTCGTCACATCGACGGTATCCGACATGTACTTTGTGCACCAGCGCGGCGCGCGCATCGCCGTGTGGGGCTGTTTCCTGGCTTCGGGCGTGTTGCTCGGGTACGTTTCGATGCCGTGTCTTGTTCGTACTTACATGGACTCTCCACGCTAACGCCCTCTACTTACAGGCAGACGATTGCCGGCGCCATCATCGAGAACATTTCCTTCGAAGCAACCTTTGGTATCTCGGCTCTGATTTTCATCCCCATTGTGCTCGGCATGTACTTCTTCGTCGTCGAGACGACGTACTACGGCCCGCGGCCCACAGGCAAGCAAGTCGACGACGAGGACGTGGCGCTCGCGCAGGCCAACGAGCCCAAGCCGTCCTACAGCAGCCAGCTCGCCCTCTTCCGCGGCCGCATGTCGCCCGAGTCGTTCTGGAAGAACGCGTGGAAGCCCGTGCCGCTCATCAGTTTCCCCGCCGTGCTCTTCAGCACAATTGTCTACGGATCCTACTTCACGTGGCTGCTCACCATCTCGGTGCTCTCCGCCAGCATCTTTTCAGCGCCGCCGTACAAGCTGAACCCAGCGCAAATCGGGCTGACCAACCTGCCTCTGCTGGGCGTCGGCCTCATCGGGTCGCCGCTCTCAGGCTGGGCCGCCGACGCCATTGCAAAGAGCATGGCGCGCCGCAACAAGGGCGTGTTTGAACCCGAATTCCGCCTTACGCTTATGATCCCCGCCACCATCTTCGCCACCATCGGCTTCCTGGGCTTCGGTATCAGCACGTCGCAGGGCTACCCCATTGCGTATCCCCTCGTCTTCATGTCCATCCACTCGCTGTCCGTGCCCTTTGCATCCACCGCCAGTCTCACATATGTCATTGACTGCCATCCCAAAGACGCGAACCAGGCCTTTGTCACCATCAACTTCACCAAGGCCGTGTTTACCTTTATCGCGACCACGTATGCCAACGGCGTCATGGCCAAGGTCGGCCCGAGAATGGTGTTTGACAGCATTACCGTCATCAATCTGGCCATCTGCTCGCTTACCATTCCGTCGTATATATATGGCAAGAGGTTTAGGAGCCTGGTAAGTTTACCTCTTCACGTGATACTCTTTTCCTGGGTTGGTTTGGCTAATGCAGGTTGTAGGTTGCGCGCAGCTCGTTTGGAAAGAAGATCTCGGGTTAATTCTAGTGCGTATGGATGAGTGGCGAAGTGGGATGGGGTATGCAAGGCAGCAAGCAGGTGTAGACGGCGGGGTGAGAAGACGAGGAAATGGTTCATGGATATGAATATACACTACAGTCGTTTCAGACTTTGTTTTTACGTTGGCGATTAATTGGATTTTTTTTTGTAAACTTCTTTGTTGTTGTTATTAGTTGCGTTATGCAGACAGACAGACAGACAGACAGACAGACAGGCAAACTAAACTTTCACTAGAATGCACTAGTATGACTTTGACTGATGAAATACAGTTATAATTATCCGCTTCACTACTGCAAACAAACAACACTGCGACGCTGTCCAAGAACTTTGGTGTCAAAAAAATTAGAGAAGAAAAAAACACAACAGGTAGAATGAGATTGAATGTGATTGAATTGTTTTTCATTTTCATTTTGCAACGTCCTTTTTTTTCAGCGTTACCAGAACCCGAAAACCAAAAAAAAACCGCGGCGAAAAACAGGCCCCCCAAAACATCTATATACAAAACTCCAAGCTTGCAAAGAAACACTTTCTTAACACAGGCACATGTTTTTGTTTTCCCAAAATGTCCGAACAAAACAGAACACACAAAAAAAGGAACGAGAGGAGCCACGCGAAACGACGTATCGTTCGGGCCATATTTCATATCGTAAACGCTCCAAAAACGCCCCGGTGGCTAAAAATCAAGAGTCACATGCCAAAAACGCCCTAGCTCCCTCATGTAAAATATGGGGGGTTTATTCAATCAAGCACCAGGCCAGACGAAGCTAGTTGGTCACCCGTCTCGGAGACTCGCCCAGCGTCACCACTCTTTGGACGCTGGATCTTTGCGACGAGAGCATTTGTGCCAAGGCCTGTTGCTGGGCTGAGGATGTGCTGGCCATGGCCATTGTGTAGCGGGGGCTGAGGGGCGAGGATGATGACATGGACGATCTCCGAGCGGCGGCGGTGGTGGTGGAGATGGGCGAGGGAGAGGGCGCAGATGAAGCAGCAGTCTTGAGGAAGACGCGCGCAGGAGGGAACTGGCTGATTGGCGGCATGGTGTTGAGTGATGTGTGTGTGTGTGTGGGTGTGTGGGTGGTGTGAGTGGAGCTTGAGGTCGAAGCTGGAGAGAGTGTGTCGGGTGGATGACGACAAGAAGAGGTTGTTTTATTGTGTAGATGGATGGAAAAGCGGAAGAGTCCAAGCCGGAAAAGCGTGCGGCGGGCTGAGTCTTTTTTGTCTGGGACGGGAGACGGGTCGTGTGGTCGTGTTCCGCAGTGCAGGTCGAAGCGCCGATGAGCTTTCTTTTTACCCCTCACGCTGATTGTTTCTTTGTTGGTGTAAGGGCGAGGTAAGCGGGCAGTGTGGTGGTGTGTGGGAGAAAAAGAAACGATGCAGCGACGACGGCCATGTTATTATAGCCCGAGTTGAGTCACCCCCAGCGGTGCAGCATACTACACGCCCACGCATACCAAGAGGCGTAGACGGGGGGGTGTGGGTAATGGGCCCCACTCCCATAGCTCCGCTCCCAGCTCCCACACACTCTCTGTCTCCCCGTATCCTCGGCGTTCAGCGTGTCACAGTCACGAGCCGGCGGCCCCTGTCGCAGCGTCTGTCCATGCGGCACCGCTCGTAGCGAGGTAACGCTCGCTCATGGCCCGCTGCCCCGGCAGAATGACATGTGATGTGAAGGCCACACCGTTTGGAACTGCCTTGGCGTCCCCCATTCACTCCAAGAGCCAGCTGAGATGCCTCACCCCACCCGAGCAAAGCGTCGCTCCATGGGCTCCTGATGTCCCGGCCACGACACGAGCCCGCCGCCGCCGCCCGCCGGCTGCATATTGGTCTGTCGTGCAGCCGTAGGCCGGTAGTGGTAGTAGCTGGTAGCAGTAGTGGTAGTCTGAGGGCGCGTGTCGCCGGACCCCATCGGCGGGGAATTCTCGTTGGTTGGCCTTGCATGCGGTAGCATCCGGTGTGTATGGGGAGAGGCGAGCCGGGGGAAGGGGAGGTTGTGCTTGTGGTTGTTCTTTTTTGCCTCCCCCGCTCCCGCCCTCGCCTTGCACGTTTCTGGTTAGCGTAGCGAGACGGGCGACCAGCAAGTTGCGCGACTTTTGCTCTCTTGTGCTTGTTTTCCTTGTTTTCCGTTTCTCGATTCCAGAATCACGTTTTTTGACAAAAATGACAGAAGCTAATCTTGACCTGCGCCTGCAGAAACCCACCAGGATGTGCTACGGCTACTTACTCGATTACTTACATGCAAGGCCAAAGGAAGAACAAAGCTCCCAGGATTTTAGAAACCCAAACCCATTTTCTAGAACCGTCGAGTTTCAGAGTCAGAGGCACCTAGAAAAAGCTAGCATCCTGCATACAATGCCAATCCTAGGCATACCAAATACCCAGATTCCAGATTCCAAAATCCATACCGCGGATCCACCTTTCTACTCCTCTCTGCCTTTCCCCGTCCCCCCCCTTCCCTTCTAGGCTCCAAGTATACACGCCCAGCACACAGGTCCCGCGACCCCGGACCATGACAAGCCGCCCGCGCCTCGCAGTCTGAAGCGACGACAACAGCCAAGCCATGTCATGCGCATCAGAGTGCGCTGCGACAGCCATAGCGTGTTAGCGACTTTGGGCTTACAACAAGCCCCAAGATCCCAAGCGCAATGCAATACATGGAAGACCCCTTTTGCAGCCAGTACATGTTTCCTCCTCCGTTTGACACGGCACGGCATGACCCCCTCGTTCTAAGCATACACGACGGCACACAACACATGCATTGCTCACCGCCCGTTGTTGTAGTGGTGGTGGTACAGTTCCCGCGCATACAGCCTACATGCGCATGTACTGTAGCTGTGTGGAAGTGGTAAGCGGGCATACACCGATCGCGCACCACCACCACCACTATCACTATCACTACTACTATCACCATCACCACCCGCGGCCGTACGCTCTCGCACACAGATAGCACAGCGCGTGTTGCTCCGAAACGCGCGGACGTCCGACGCACAGCCAAGCATCCGCATTGATATCCGTTCATTGGGAGTCGACAAAAGAAACCACACACACACCCACCCAAAGCCAAGCCAAGTCCCTCTCCTCCCCCCCCCAAAACCCTAACACAGGCACATCTTGGTCCAGCATGATCTGCTACACGTCGTATCGCGCCACCCCACCCAAGTGTATCGCAACGCTATACAGCAACCGGGCGCTACCTTAGCGCATGCTTGGCCCTCGTCTCCGTCTGCCGTGGTAAAATAATGCCATAAACTATGTAAGTTACTTTGGGTAAGTAAGTAAGTAGGCTAACGTGCATACGTACGCACGCACACACACACACTCATACGCACACGCCCCTCAGCTCCAACCACGTTTGCATGCCGCACCCCCTCAACCCCGTGCCGCGTGGAACAAGGAGAGAAAGAGAAAGAGAGAGAGAGAGAGAAAGAGGAACAAAAACATGACTGTATTCGCCCACACACCCCCTCCCCCACTCTCTCTCCACGCACACACCCACGCGTTACCGCCGCGGCGCAGCGCGTAGCAGAACACGGCTATTCATACCATACATGCTGGGCGCTGGGCAAAAAAAAAGCTGCGTGTTGAGTATTAAGTGAGTGAGTGGGGGAGATTACGTGTATATGTGCTTTGACTTTGTAGACCAAACTTGGCTTGTGCGACACGGCGCCGTGGTTTGACCATGTGCCATGGCGTTTTTTGTTGTCTTCATGCTGAGAAGCGTGGAATATGGGGGGTCACGGGCTTGGTTGGCTGGCCATGCGGGGTATGGGGGAGGAGGCGTGTCTCTCTTTCTCTCTCTCTCTCTCTCTCTCTCTCTCTCTCTCTCTGTGTGTGTGTGTGAGTGTGAGTGTGAGTGTGAGCTGTGTCAAGTGTGTATGTAGGTGTAGATTAGCTGCTCCTGGGCTGGCACACACACACACACACACACCAAGAGTGGTACACGAGCCATGGGGTTACAGAGCGAGCGATGATGCCCAAGTTCGGTTGACTTGCCCCTCTGTCTCTCTGCCCGTTATCTGCCTGTCTGTCTCCTGCAGTCTATTTCCTGCAGTCAGCCTGCCTGCATGTAGCTGTAGCTGTCGCTGTCGCTGTCGCTGTCGCTGTCGCTGTCGCTGTCGCTGTCGTGGGCGCGGCTATCGCAGCAGCCATGGCCCTCGCCGGTGAGTCCATGCACCTCCAACGGCGGCATCCTCTCCTCCCATATGCTGCCGCTAACCGCCTGCATACCAACCAAAAAAGCAACGCCCCCCCTCCCTGCATCGAGGGTGTAGTGGGAGCCAACCACAACAAAGTCCATGCCGCCTTGCTACGAACCGGTGGGAATACTGTCCAACCCACCCTCAACACATACCCTTGGCACATGCCTTCACAAAAAATCTCATTCCGCGCGTTTCGTATTATATTACTTTTCTACTATACAAAGCTGGCCCAACTTTTACATGTTACATGCAATTCGTCATTCAACATATCCTCCCTCAACATGCGACGTCGCGTTTCCAGCGTAGTCGCTTCTTTCATTGTATTGCTTCATGCCATGCAAGCCTGAAGCACATCGATAGTGTCGTGGCACTTGCTACCACCAAGTTTCCACCACTCCTTATTCTACGTGCTGACCGTCTCTAGGCCTTGGTCTTGGTCTTGGGCGTACCGCTGCGGACACGCTTCGCCTCGGGGCGCTGAAGGTGCGACGCAGGAATCCAGCTCTCATCGTACGCCTTGGCACCAGAAGTCACGGCGGGCCCGTCAGCGCCAACGACTGCAACCTGATCGGCAGGGTCGACCTTCTTGCTCTGCCCCGATGATGTCTTGGCGCGCTCACCACCCTTGCCGCGGCCCTTCTTCTGAGGGAAGAAGGTGGTGATCCACGTGTTGTAGATGAAGTAGACGGTTCCGCCAAATGCGCCGAGGACGACAAGGTAGAGGAAGAGACTAGCCACGGGTTAGTCGGCACTGGCAGTACATCAGCGGGCTACATACATCTGAGGGTCCAAGAAGTTGGTGGGAGCCTCGACAATGCTGACAGTCTCGTTGTAAACAGGAAGCGTGTAGAGGGCGCTGTTGGCTCCCTTGAGCACAGTGACGAGCTCGAGGCGCAGGCTCTGGGGATGCATCTCGGTCGTGAAGCTGTAGGGAATCGTCTCGTTGGCGCCGGCGGGAATCTCAATCGAGTAGCGCTGAGCCGTGAGGTTGTGAACAAGCTGAGATTGGCCTGCAACCTCCTTGGCCAGCGAGCCGCCAACAAGCACAACGCCCACGGGCGCGGGCTCGTTATTGGTCACCGAGAGACGCGCCTCGGTGGCATGGCCGTTGATGAGCTTGACGCCGAAAACCTCGGCCTGCGGGAACGAGACCGAGACGGCGACATTGAGGTTGGGCGTCTGCGGCTCCTCTACCTGCTCTTTGATCTTCTCCGCCTGGACACAGCGTGGTCAGCATTCTGATGTCATGGCTCGTCACCATTCCCCAGACTCACGTCGGCCTCTGCGACGGCACCCAGGGCGCGCAGAGAGAGCAGAAGCAGAGAAGACAATTTCCAATTGACCATGATGACGGCGCTGCAAAAAGATGAGATGGTAAGAATGGGCGGGGGGGCGTGAGGAAAGAGATGGGGGACTTCGAACGTGGCTTCTGGCAACTGACGTCCGGGCGCGGCCCAGGCTTGGCGAACGCAGCAAGCATCCGATGCGCGGCTGCGGGAAGCGAGCCTTGGCCTTGGCCTGACACGGGACATGTTCATGCCCTCTCTGTCGACTTGTTGTTAATCCCCTCGTCCCCATTGCTGCTTTTGCACCGTGCAGTTCACATATGGATGAGATGATGAGCCAAAGGCCTGAAACCCCGCGCCTGATGCCCCCCCCATCCAACGATGCCTCTCTTCACTGATAAGCGCCCAGACGCTGCACACAGCCACCCACGCCGCTCACTTGTCCCAATGCAAAAGCCTCGTCTGCCTCTCGATGCGCTTTGTTGTTGTATTTGCCGCCCTGTAGCGGACCTCCCTTTATGCCGGGAGCATGCATCGCTCTCTGGTTACACGGTCCGGGGTACACTCTTCGTTTCCCGCTTCCCGCTTCTCGTTTCCATTCCATTTCGCCTTCTCCTCGTCTCTCGCCGTCTCTTGCTTTCCGTTTTCCGTTTCCTGTCGCTCCCAATAACCGTCTTCATGGCCACTAGGATGCTCTATAAAGGCCTGCCTGTGCCCGCGCTTGGTCCCCTTCCTCCTTCACCTTCCTTGTGAACCACGCGGAAAGAGCGCTCGGCTACCCGTACCAAGTTCTCGCAAACTCTACTTGACCGCGCCAGTCTTCACACGCGCAGCAGCCGCACCCAAAATCCTTTTATTCTCACTCTCCCATTTAACGTCACTCCCTTCCGTTCAACCGCACTCACTATGGCCCCGTCGCTCAATGGCCCTGGCCGTCTGGATTCCACCCCCGCCCCCGCTGTTTCGCTCGACGGCGACCTGGCCGAAATCAGCAAGCGTTTCGAGCAAATCAACCGTTTGGACGAGGAAAAGTCCAAGTTCATGGCCGTATGTCGGCACGTCAAAGTCTTTGTTGAAGCCTAACCCTCCGGCAGGAGCTCATCGCGCAGTATGGATATGTTCGTAAGCAGAACCAGGCCATGCTGTCTCAACGCAGTCGCGAGCTTGAATGGGTGCTGCAATGGCAATCAGACAAGCAGCACTACGAGAAGTGTATGCGGAACATGCAGCGTGCCATTGTAAGCTCTCTGCCAGCCCACCAGCATCGTGCACGACACTGATACGCCAGCATCAGACCGACAATTCCTTTGTAGTCGTACTCATTGACGGCGACGGCATGATTGTAAGTCGATTGGTTCACGACTCATGCCCCGTTGCTAATCATGCGACCAGTTCCGTGACGAGTTTCTGCGAGAAGGCGAAGTGGGTGGGCGCCGGGCTGCCTCGAAGCTGCATGCCGCTATTCAAAACTATGTCCAAGACCACAACGAACACAACAGCCATGACATCTCCAATGGGTCGCGGATTGTTTGCCGGATTTACGCCAACGTTGGGGGTCTTGCCGATGTGCTCGTGCGCACTGGCGTCATACCGGATAGTAAACACTTTATGAACTTTGTGCGTGGGTTTACGAGGGGCAAGACGCTCTTTGATTTTGTAGACGTGGGCGCCGGCAAGGATCGTGCCGATGAGAAGATCATTGGTGAGTAGCCTGAGCGTATATTGCGCTGGTATTCTCCTGACATTTAGCGCAGAGTCTTTCAAACTCTACTCTCAAGATTACCACTGCCGTCGTTTGCTGTTCGGATGCTCCCATGATAACGGCTATGCTCGCCTGCTTGAAGAGTGCTCCGATCGAGACGAGCTCCTTGACAAGGTTGTTCTGCTCGAGGGCGTTCCTTTCGAAAAGGAGCTGGTGTCGCTACCATACAAGACAAAGAGGTTCCCCGACATCTTCCGTGACTCGAAGCTCATCGCTTGGCTGGCTAATAAAACTTTTAACGCCCTGTCGCCATCATTTGTACCGACTGGTATTTCCGGATTCGATATCAAAGAGAGCGCGAACTTTGTCGTATCAACAGGTCTCCCCTCTCGCTTTCCAGCGCCCGCTTCTCCACGACCACTTAGTACCTCGTCTCTCCTGGACAGCCCTCTTGCCAGCAGCGCCGCGTTGAACCACATAGCTAGGACACCCTCGACTTCATCTCTAGCTTCCGACGGTCTGATCACACGTAAACCGACTGTGGAGCCCATGAACTACGCCGCCAAAGCAGCGGCCCCCCCTCCGTCTGCTTCTCCGTCTCCCGTCTACAAGGCCTCTCACCGCGACGAAGTCATTGCGCGCAACCGCGCCGGCCAGCGCGTCGATCCGCCCTGCAAAAGCTACGACAAGACCGAAGTCGACCGCATCAAGAAGCTGAAACTGTGCAACGTGCATTTTCTGCGCAAAGAATGCCCTTATGGAGAGCACTGCACACACTCGCATGCGTATAGTCCTACAGAGAGCGAAATCGCCACGCTTCGTCTTGTCGCGCGCATGGCGCCGTGCGTCTACGGCAGTGGCTGCCAGGACATCAAGTGCATCTATGGCCACCGGTGTGCTGCACCGCCGCATAAAACCAATCATGTCAAGGGCACCAAGAGCTGTATTTTCGGCGACTCGTGCAAGTTTTCCGAGGAGCTGCATGATATCGATACACATGTAGTCAAGACATTGGTGATTCGCTAGAAGAGAAAGTCGACGTCCTCGAGCCCACTGGGTCGTGGATGGAGAGATACGATCAAGGTTCCACGCGGAACATGGAGGCGAACCAATGTATAACGTGTTTGTATCATGCTGCGATACGGCTTCCTCGCCGGCAACAGGGAATGTAATTATTCATGATGATAGCTAAAAAAAAGAATTTAATCCTACTAGCCCAAACGTCACTCCTTCTTCCATTGCTCAAACTCGTCTTCCAAGTGCAGCTTCAGCGCCGCAAACTGGTTCTTGAAGTTCTGTCCGCACCGCCAACACTTCATGTCCCAGCTGGGCCACGCGCCCGGGTGAAACCTCGCGCTTCCGGGCTCGAGGGGAAACTCGTCCAAACGCACCAGGAAACTCGAGTTGAAACTAAGGTAATGCTTCTTGCGCTTCATGCACGCAGAGTACATGTCCCGGCTGAAGATGTGCACGTGCATGTGGTTCATGGAAGGATGCGTATGCACGCCCGCAACGATATCTTTTTTCCAGTCACGACCTGCCGGTAGCAGTGCAGCGCGTTGCTCAGCTGACAGCGGAGGATCTGGTCCCGACATGAGTGGCTCCAGCGCAGCGTTATACGGCGCATCCGAAACACTATGCTCGCCGTATAGCCGGCGCAGTTCGTCCGCTGCGAGATCCACGAGTCGGGCTACCCGCGCTCGCACGGTAGCTAGGAAAGCAGTATCCGTCGACAGGACGTGCAGCGGGTGCTGCGAGTAGTACGTTTGTTTCCGCGGTAGAAGCAGTAGATGTACGCTTCAAAAGCCCAATGTCAGTCTATATAATATAAACCCTAGTTTTTCCAGCACAGAGATGAAGGTGAAGATGATGGTAATTTACCTTGCTTTGGGGTACTTGTCGGTTATCACGACGAAATCTTCGTCGTACTCCAAGACTCGGCCTTCGGGATTCGCGGCGGCGTTCTCAATGTACAGGCCCAGGCCGTTGCGGGGGTCCCATGGTTTGGAGACGGCGGCTTTCTTGGGAGTGTCTGGGGGTCGAGATGTGGACTTGGGTTTCTTCGCATGCGACATGAGTTCTGTGACTGTGTGGTAAGTTGAGGTTGCTTGTTGGGTTGGGCGAGAGGATGCGGGCGTACATGCATTGGGCCGTTTCTGGGATGCTGTGTTTATGGCGGGTTGAGGGCGGTTGGGCGACTCTGTTGCGTCGTTCTCTTCTGCGGTGATGGCGGAGTGGGGTTGCGCGCTCGAGGGCGCATTGTTGCTGGACATGGCTTTTGCGTGCTTCCGTGGTGGCCAGCCAAGTCTAGGGTTGTAGGATGCGTAGTTGAAACGACTGACGACAAACGGCGGAGGAACAAGTGAATGGCGTGCGACAACAAGTCGCGATGCGATGACGATGAGGCTCAAACCAGTGGTCCAAGCGTACCGAGGCATCCCTGCAACCATCGGAATTTCGGATTGCACCAACACTCAGTCGAGGGCTGAAAGAAGTCGAAATGGCTGCAGTACGCCCGACGATTACACCTCTTTTAGATGATTGCCTAAGGTTTGGTGGAAAACTTGCGTCGATTGCGCCCCCATCTCCGCGGGTGCGTCCTTCACCGCCTACACACAAGGCCTGACACGGTCTTTGCCCAACGCTCCTCTTCCGAAGCACGCCTCTCTGTCTGTCCATGGAGATTCCCAGGCCCGCCGATTTTTTCCCCCTGCGCCGATACAATGCCCAAGAACGCGCATCCGCCGCGCGGTAAGCCGGCCAAGAAGACGGTGCCGCCCGACGAGGACACAAGCTTCATCGTGTTTGGCGATGGCAAGGGCAAAAAGAAAAAGGGCGAGGGCTCCGGTGCGAACGCGGCCCCAAACGAGGCAAAGGGAAAAGGCAAAGGAGCTGCTGCTGCTGCACAGCCCGAAGATGGGCCCAAGAAGCCCGATACTCGCACTCTGATCGCGGGCGCATCGTGGACGGGCAAATTGCCCGTCAACCTGCTGTCGGAGCACTTCCAGAAGCAGCAGTGGAGCAAGCCAGACTACCGCATTGTATGAGACACACGATCGGAATCACGAGATATCACACTGATGTGTTTTGTAGCGCAAGGATGGCGACAAGCACTTTGCCTATGCCGTGGTGCTGTCCAAGGTGAACCCGAAGACGCGCGAGACGACGACTCTGCCGCCCATCAAGATTCCTCCTGAGCTGGAAGAGCAAGCACACCAGCCGACTGCTGTCGAAGCCCGCAACTTTGCTGCGGCATACACGCTGTTCCGCGTCGCCAGTGCCAAGAACCTGCACATGATGCTTCCGCCGACCTACAAGGATCTGTGGAAAGGCCAGTTTACAGAGCTGAAGAAGAGAGACGAGCAGGAGGGAAAGGGCTGGATGTACGAGGCCGACCCGTTCTTTGGCTTTGCAGAGCGCGAAAAGGCAAAGGAAACTGCGGCCAAGGCGCGTGAGAAGAAGCTGAAGGAGCAGGCAGAGGCTCAGAAAGCGCACAATCAGCAGCCTGGTGCGGCCATGCCGGGCGCATCCAAGGATTCTGCGCCTAGCAGGAATTTGATGAAGGGTTGGGAGCGTGTTCCGAAGATCGAGCTGGGAAAGAGGACAAGAAAAGAGGCAGAGCGGCTGATCCGCCGGGATGCGCTGTGGAACCCAAACGGCGTTGAGTTAGGCGCAGCGACAAAGAGCAGATTGGTTGAGGAAATCACGGAGCTTGGGTTCCGCAAGAGCCATGTGGAAGAGGCGGCTGACATCTGCAAAGACCGCGAGGAGGTCATTGAGTGGCTCCTGATTCACGTGCCAGAGGACGATCTTCCATCCTGGTCTCTGCCGGAGGGCTATGTTGCTGGTGTGAGCATGGCTAGCTCTAATCTCAAACGTGAGGGAGCTGTAAAGCGTCTTGCAGCCGCCGGATACTCGGTAGATCTGTGCGAGGAGGCCTATGACAGCCAGGGCGGCGATGAAAGAAAGGCCGCCGCGCTACTGCAGGCTCGCCTCCTTCGACCAGACGACGACGACAATGACATTCTGCAAGAGTTGGCGGATCTTTCGCTTTCCGAAGGCATGCCAGAAGCGCCCGACGAGGACCCGTGGGAAGTGGAGATGTCGTCACTAGAAGCGATTTACGACCGCCTCTTTTCAAGACCTGCTCCAGAGGCATGCCGCATCGAGCTCGACGTCAAGCAGCAAGGAAAAAGGCTCATTCTGCAAGTCAGGAAACCCTTTGGTCCCTACCCTGCCGTGGTGCCCATAATCACTTTTGAAGCCGCCATCCCAGCGTACATCCGTCTGAGCATCATCCGACAGGCACTTCTCCATGCCGAAGCCAATTTTATCGGCATGCCTATGGTATACGACATTGTAGATTGGATTCAGACGAATGCAGGTGATATCTTCCAGAATCCAGGGAAGCTATCAGATGTCTCTTCTGGTCTTGCGGCGGCGGATCACACGTCGGAACAACAAACTCAGAAGCGCAAGGCAAAGGCTAGGCCGCGCAAGCCTATCGACTGGACACCGGCAACCCCGGCCAGCCAGAAGATCTTGGCAGACTGGCGGGCCAAGCAGGAATCGCCTGCTCAGCAGAAGATGATGGACGCTCGACGATCGCTGCCTGCCTGGCGCTTGAGGGACGACATTGTTCAGACTGTCAACAACTGCAATGTGACCATCGTCTCCGGCGAGACGGGTTCTGGAAAATCGACCCAATCAGTCCAGTTTGTCTTGGATGATTTGATCCAGCGACAGCTTGGCGCTGTGGCAAACATTATTTGTACCCAACCCCGTCGAATTTCTGCTCTCGGTCTCGCCGATCGTGTGGCCGACGAGCGGTGCTCCCAAGTTGGCGACGAAATTGGTTATACCATTCGTGGAGAGTCGAAGCAGAAACCTGGCACGACCAAGATTACATTCGTCACCACTGGTGTTTTGCTGAGGCGGCTGCAAACGTCGGGCGGAAACGCTGAGGATGTCGTTGCTGCACTGGCCGATGTCAGCCATGTCGTAGTAGACGAAGTACACGAGCGCAGCTTGGATACCGATTTCCTGCTTGTCCTGCTACGTCAGATCTTGCGGACGCGGAAGGATCTCAAAGTCATCCTCATGAGTGCAACGCTCGATGCTCAAGTCTTTGAAGCCTACTTCAACGAGGTCGGACCAGTGGGTCGTGTTGAGATTGAAGGCCGCACCCATCCTGTGACTGACTACTATGTCGACGATGTCCTGCACTTTACCGGCTTCAAGGGCTATGGAATGGGCGAGGACGACGACCCAGGAGACAAGTCTTTTTCTGCCAACCTTCGCAGTATTGGGTTTGGTATCAACTACGACCTGATCGCTGAGACGGTACGCCACATTGATCGTGAGCTGGGATCCAAGGACGGCGGTATTCTCATCTTCCTGCCGGGTACCATGGAGATAGACCGCACTCTCCAGGCGCTGAGTCAGTTTGCAAATCTACATGCGCTGCCGCTGCATGCATCACTGTTGCCAGTCGAGCAAAAGCGAGTGTTCCCTCCTGCACCCCACGGTAAACGAAAGGTAGTTGCCTGTACCAACGTTGCTGAGACGTCCATCACCATCGAGGATATCGTCGCCGTCATCGACACTGGCAGAGTCAAGGAGACGAGCTACGACCCACAGAACAACATGGTGCGTCTAGCTGAGACATGGGCTTCGAGGGCCGCATGCAAGCAACGACGTGGTCGAGCCGGACGTGTGCGGGCGGGCGACTGCTACAAGCTCTACACGCGCAATGCCGAGGCCAAGATGATGGAGCGGCCTGATCCTGAGATTCGGCGCGTGCCGCTCGAACAGATGTGTCTCTCAATCAAAGCCATGGGCGTGCAAGACGTGTCTGGGTTCCTGGCTTCAGCCTTGACGCCACCAGAGAGCACGGCAGTAGAGGGAGCAGTCCGCTTGTTAACCCAGATGGGCGCCATAACTGACAACGAGCTGACTGCTCTCGGTCGCCACATGTCCATGATCCCAGCCGATCTGCGTCTAGGCAAGCTTCTTGTCTACGGGGCTACATTTGGGTGTCTCGAAGCCGCCTTGACCATAGCCTCAGTGCTCACAGCACGCAGTCCATTCCTATCACCGCGCGACCGAGACGCAGAAACACGAGCCGAATTCGACCGGCTCCGCGCCTCCTTCTCCAACAACCAAGGCGACCTTCTCGTCGACCTCCGAGCCTACGAGCAATGGTCCGCTCTCCGCACCAAAGGCACATCAACCCGCGACCTGCGCTTCTGGTGCCAGGAAAACCGGCTTTCCCCGCAAACCATGTTCGACATAGCCTCGAACCGCACACAGTACCTGTCTTCACTCAAGGAAATCTCCTTTATCCCGTCACACTACTCGTCGTCGAACCCAAACTCGCACGCCACATACAACAAGCACAACGCCAACGACGCGCTTGTCCGCGCCCTCGTCGCGGGAGCCTTCAACCCGCAAATCGCACGCATCCAGCTTCCCGACAAGAAATTCGCAGCAGGCATCGCCGGCGCCGTCGAACTCGACCCGTCAGCCCGCGAAATCAAATACTTCAACCATGAAAACGGACGTGTATTCATTCACCCTTCCTCCACGCTCTTCGCCAGCCAGACGTTCCCACATAACGCGTCGTTCATCGCGTATTTTAATAAAATGGCTACATCTAAGGTGTTTGTTCGTGACATCACCCCGTTTAACGCGTACAGCTTGCTCCTGTTTGCAGGCCATATTCAAGTAGACACCCTGGGTCGTGGGCTTGTGGTTGACGAGTGGATCCGGCTCAGGGGCTGGGCCCGCATAGGTGTTTTGGTGAGTCGTCTACGGGGCATGCTGGATGGCGTGCTGGAGGGTATGGTACGCGAGCCTGGCAAGGGCATTGGGGCGCGCGAACGCGATATTGTGGATGTGGTGCGGTGGTTGGTTGAGCGGGATGGCTTGGATGCGTAGGTATGTATACTTTGTAGTGGGATGGAATAGAAGTGGGCTGTTTTTTTTAGTGCCATTTTGGTTCTCCGCTGTTTTCTTATCTTGTCTTGTCTTGTCTTGTCTTGTATGGTCAAGATGGAAATAAGAATAAGAGGGGCAAGAAGAAGAGGAAGAGGAAAGAAGGAAATGCACATGTATATTCTACAGCATCTCGAAAAATCCTGGCACTTTTACATGTAGTATCACAATATCACTACTGCAGTCCCCTCTCTACCATCCCTCTCTACCATCCCTCTCTACCATCCCTCTCTACCATCCCTCTCTACCACCCCTCTCTACCACCCCTCTCCACCTCTCCCTCAGTATCTCAAGAAGAAGAAGAAAAAGCGAAAAAAAAATCCTCAAAGAAGAAACTCACAATGTACCAGCACCGACTTTTCCATCTCCCCACGTACTCCCTATTCTCAAGCTTTACAGAAAAGAAACAACGGTGGAAAATAAAACAGAAAAACAAGGCAAGTAAGCACTTTCTCTCTACCCTCTCTTTTATTGTTGTTGGAGTAGTGAATATGTATGTATGTATGTATGTATGTATGTATGTATGTATGTATGTATGTATGTATGTATGTATGTAGCGGGGTATAGTAGAGTAGAGTAGCGTAGCGGTAGAGTACGTGTCGAGATACTTTTATCAGAGGGTTCACTACGAGGAGTAAGTCCTAGCTGGAATACAGTTGTACGTGTATGGAGAGAGAAAGAGAGAGAGAGAGATAGGGTCTCTACACAAGACTTTTAAACAAGAGTCAAGATGAACAGCTACATGCACTACAGTCGTAGTATACAAAGTCAAGCCGAGAAAAAGAAGAAGAAAAAAAATCCAATCATTTTTTTTTCAACAACAATAACAATGGATGTTGAGTCTACTACTTTGGAGTACTTGGGGTCTGGAGTAAGTATGTACATAGCGTGGTAGGTATTCTTCTGCTTGTATGCATGGCTGGCTTGTAGTAGGTGACTAAACGCTCTCTCTCTCTCTGTACTCATCGCTGATATGATTTATAGATTGGAGAAAATGCACTGCTGTTGGTTGATAAGCTAATGACTATTATTATGATTTTTTTTCTTACTTGGAAACGGCATGACTCCGCTCCGCTAGGTATCTAAAAAAAACACATTTCCCTAACTTCATGTCTGAAGAATTCCGAAACGTAAGAAGATATGGTGAAAGTTTCTCTCTCTCTCTCTCCTTTTTTTTTCCCGCGCATACCTTCAACTCCAACAGCAAACCACCCATCCATGGCATAGCTACCCCTTCGCACCCGCCAACAGCGACGCTCGCAGCACATCAAGCTCCCCAAAAAGCTCCCCAGCAGAGCTATACCTTCCTTCCCAGCACTTTCTCACAACCAGCCCGCTCAGTTCCTCTTGCAGCTCAGGAAACTCTGCTTGCCGATAACGGCGCTGGAACTCGGCTTCGTCGTCGATAGTATGCAAGTGCGGAAACAGGCGGTGCCCCGCGATAATGCGGTAGATAGTCGAGCCCAGAGCAAAAATGTCTATTTGTATGCTTGCGGAATCCAGGTCGGAGCGAGGCATAAAGGCCTCTGCGTTCTCGGATGCGCCGCCATCACACAGCACGGTTCCGTCGGGCGCTAGAATGCGGCCCTGGAAGTCGCACAGCTTGACATGAAGCTGAGAATCGAGAAGCACGTTCCGGACATGTATATCGCATATAATAACATTCTTCGCGTAGGCATAGGCAACTCCTTCGGCTATTTCTTTCGCGAATCGGAGTTTCTCCTCATCTATAATAGTTCTGTTAACGAGATAGCTTTCAAGCGATCCGTTAGTTGCATATTCTAGGAGTAATCCACCTGCATTCTGGTCCTTAAACTCAATGATTCGAGGGTGATTGCCGAGCTGCTTGTATATCGCGCTTTCGACATCAAGACCATGGGAGGAGCCGTCCTTGAAATGCGGGTACTTGAGGACCGTGGAGTCGTCGACAAAACTAATGTAGTGGCAGCTGCCGGTAGTGAGGATATGCTGTACGCCTTGGGGATAATATGGCTCGACATATATTACATCACTCATTTTCGTTGTAGGATGGCGTGATAGTTGGAGTGGAGTGTTGATACGACAATAGTGGTGGAGTAATGAGGATAGACTGGTTACTTACTTACTGGCCACCTGAATGCTTCCAAGAGCTTAGACCACCACCCTATTCCAACCCCCACCCAAGGCTGGGGTACATGCTACATCTTCGCGCTATACATACCATGTCCGTGCGCAACATCAAAACCACAACCCAAACGCCAGTCAGAAACCAATCCATGACACAGAGCCAACAGGACACCAACCAACACAAGAATGTGGACTAATAAACATGGCGAAAGCAACATGACACAATCAATGCCATGTGACAGGTAACTGAGTAGACCGTTTTCCTTGAGACCAAGACATGGCGGATACAATCACGTCGTGGAATATCGGACTGGACCAGACTGGACCGGACGTGAGAGAGTGACGACGGACTAAGCCGGACTGGATACAGGCAATGAGCTGGAATCTGGTCACTGGCCCATGTAGATTGGGTTAGACACGAAACACGAGGGTAGAATTCGTTCCAGTGTGGTAGATAAGTTGCCCATCTACAAAGCCGTAAGATTCATTCATGACTAGCTATGCACTACCCGGTGACCCGCCCATATTCAGCAAAATATCCAACATGTCCATGCCGCCGATATCAGGACCCATGGCGGTTTGGTTGATTTCAGCACCCCACTGGTCTAGCAGTGGATCCAGTGGCAGGGCAAGCCAGTCCTGATCATGACCTGTGCCCCAGCCCGAACCATTGTTCGTCCATTGACCCCAGTTTGCGCTGTTTCCGTTGGTGTTGCTTGAACCGTTGTTGCCGTTAGCCGTTGAACAATTGCTGTAGTTGCCTGGCGGCGGCATAATGGAAATGCTGTTCGAGTTGGGGTCGTAGGGCTCAGACGAAATTCCCCAAAGAGGAGTCGCGCGCCCACTTGCAGACAGGCCCATACCCGGTGAACCCGGAACACTAGTACCGGAGCCTGAAAAGCCCGTCTGCTGGGCGCCCATGTACGGTGGCGCGAGATGGTTGACGTTGTTGAGTGGAGCAGGTGGAGGCATCAGCGGGGCTTGGGAAGGGCTCTTGCTGCCTGCGCGCGAAATGCCATTTGACCCGTTGGCCGTGAGCCGTACAAATCGCGAACGAATGCGGTGAGTCAGGGTTTCGACGAGGTCAGCGAAGCGATTGCCCACGTGTACGTCGTCGACTATGCTTGTCCGCAGAGCATCGACCGAGTTGCTGAGCAGACCGAGACTAACAGCCACGTCTTCCTCGGTCGCGCCCAACGCAAACGTTTTGAGCAGAATAATGGCGACACTGACAATGCGGAAGAAGGTGCGTACAGGTGCATGTCGCAGATAGCCACCTGGATGCAGGCCGTCGACTACCACCTTGAGCACGTTGCGTGAGGCGTCAATGACTTCGTTGATGTAGTGGCGGTCGTTGGCATACCACTTGACAAGCGTGCTAAAGGGTATTGCACCGCCGTCTTCGTTGCCGTTGGTCGGACGTCCATTGACGCCATTGGGCTGCGCATGTGTCTGGAGTGGTGTGTTGTGTGTGCAGCGCTCCACGACAGCCTGCAGAGCTAGCGAATTGAGGTAGACGCGCGTATACTCGAATTCAATCGTAAGAACGTGTCGGAGTTGCGTGGGTACTGCAAAAGTCAGACGGTATCAAGCTGCTTGGGACGGCACATACCTTGAGGCGCTCGATCAAAGCATTTTCTCCATTCTGCTAGGGGACCTTGGAAGAACTTGAGCATTTCTTCATAGGTTCCCGTCTTGAGGAGTTCGCGCGTCTTGCGACGATTCGAAAACAACTTGAGATTACCCATTTCCATAATCTTGGCGATGCGCTGCCAAAAGTCGAGCACGAGGTCCTGGATGGCATGGCGCTCCTGCGTGGCAATAGACTCGAGCGGAAGTCGCTGTCCGTCGGAGCGCATGCCAAACTGGGCTGGAGGGGCTTTGATGCGACTGACGCGCTCCTTGTATAGCTCTAGTGGCGAGGGACCGCCGCTCAGACTCTCGTCACGATCAATCTTGGGAAGCATGGATGTGAGGCCTAGCCTGCCGCTTGTCTGTGTCACATAAATGATGAGAAGATCTCGCAAATGGTTCTTCCGGCGGTAGTAGGCCTTGACCGTGGCATGCGACAGGTGCTGGTTGGCCTCCTCAAACTCGGTCTCGTTGGTCTCATCAAAAACACCAATTTCAAAAGCAAGCGTCATGGCATTGCCGAGCAGCATCCAGCACATGCGGTCACTGCGCCAGCACGGCTCGAGCCAGCTGTCGATGCGCTTGTCGCCTACGCCTTTGTACATTTCGGCCTTGGGGCCTGTCTCATAGGGATCGTCGGGCAGGACAAGCTCATCGTCGTCGTCGCCCGGCGGAAAGTGGAGGGCGCGGGGATGCCACTCTGTGAGGAGCATTAGGCTCTCGACAGTGCCGAGTGTGCGAAGCCCCTTGCGCGACAGAGGGTTCACGTCGGAGCCGGGCTGCTGGCCAGCGCCGCAGAAGCCGCCGCCAAACTGCTCCTGGCCGAATATCATGCGATCTATCATGCCCTGCAGGTACTTCCACAGCTTCTCGTGGATGAGGTACGAGCGCGAAGTTGCGCCCATGCCGCTCGAGCCGCTGGGCTGCGAGTAGCGGGCGGAGATGGTCAGGAGGGTGATGACAAGCATGGGCTCTTCCTTGAGCAGCTTTGCGTGAAAGGCATGGTCACGGTAGTCTGGCACGACAATGGGGGTGAGGGGCGACAGAAAGGTGTAGAAGTAGTCAATGTAGGCAATGGCCTCCTTGGCCGTGAGCCAGCCGGCGCGGACAAAGCGAAACTTGGACCAGGCGCGCACTGCTTGGGCAAAGGCAGCCTCATTGGGGGGGTCTGGCAGCAGGGGCTGCTGGATGGCGGGGTCTACCGACGGCTCGACATTGGCACGCGACGTGGAGCGCACATGGTGGGGATTGGGGCGGGGGCTGGCAAAGGCGGGCTGTGAGCCTGGGGTGCTGGCGGCCAGGTTGGGGCGCTGGAGACTGGAGCTGCTTTCGGAGCGGTGGTGGCTGTTCATGCCGGCGGCCTCGAAGAGCAGGTTGAGGGCATCGTGGCCGCTGTAGACCTCGCCCGTCTGCAGCGTGGCCAGCGTCTCGTTGTTGACCTTTTGGTCGTCTTCGTCGTCAGCCGAGTTGCGGGCATCGTGGGCGGGAGCCGTGTTGGGGCGTCGCAGCGGCTCATAGCGGCCGATGGAGCCGCCGGGGGTCAAGGGCTGCGAGACGTAGGCAGCGTTGGCGGCCGTGGTGATGGTGGCGAGCGGCTCGTGCAGGCCGTCGGAGCGCTGGCGCTTCCTGCCATTGCGGATCTCGTAGTCGTCGTGGTCGTCGACATCGTCTTGGTCGTCGGCCTTTCGCTTGCGGCGCGTGGCCGAGAAGAAGCACTCCTTGCTCTCGCGGCGGCAGCGCACGCAGGGCGGGTCGTGGGGGTTGTCTACAGGGCCGAGATCTGGCGGGCGCGATATCAGCAGTTGCGCAGCAGCGGCGGCGGCGAGGCGCGGCGATGGACATACCGCAGCGCACCTTGCGACGGCGACAGGGGATGCAGGCCTGGTATGTGCGCGTGTGCTGGGCGGTCTGGGGGCGCGCTGGTGGAGAGGCGTTGGAGCCGGCGGCAGACATGGTGGCGATGGAGAAGGTGGGTGGTTTTAAGGCGTCGGCTTGCGACGGCTGAGAGGCGAGGCCGCCGCTGGCTCAGAGCGAGAGCTGGGCGAGAGACGGCAACAACAACAACAACAGCAGCAGCAGCAGCAGCAGCAGCAGTAGCAGCAGAGATAGCGGCGGCCGGTCCACGGCACAATGCGGCGACGGGGGGCCGGGCGGGCCAGCGGCGGCGAGCGGGCGCGGGTTCGAGTCGCAGCTGGAACGGCGGCAGGCGGGCGGCGGGCTTCGAGCATGCAAAACGGTGGACGTGGGTGGCTGTCTTTTTTTGCCCTGTCGCGCGTTGCTGACCTGCCATATTACTGAGCAACTCGATACTGTACATACTTGGACTGCCAGCCGCGTCAGTCACGAGCGCGGGGCGGGGCTGTTGGCGGCCAGTCCCACTTGGACTTCGTCCGGGCATCCCGCTCGCCGCTACGCTGGTTATTATTACATACTACACGGCACTACATTCCATCACACGCGCTCCTCGTGCTCCCAGACGGTGGCGGTGCTGCCACTGCTCTGCCCATGTGACGCGGTATATGCTCACACTCAGCCATGGCCAAGCACATCAGCCTCGTCCATTCCCGCTCACCGCTCCCGCTTCCGCTCACACGCACCTCACGCCTGGAAGAACCACCGCACTGGAACATGCATCTCATTGCCGACATGTGTCGTCTGGCCATCGCTAGCATCGCCAAGTAACGCGCCATCGCAAAGCTACCACCCGCCCACTCGTTGGCCAAACACGCTCGCCGGCACCGCTGCCGTCTCGTGCTTTGCGGGGGCGGAGCCACTAATGTAGGAAGCGAACTGTCCGGGGACACGATACTTAGCGCCCACGCCCATGCCCATGCCCATGCCATCGGCCCGCTAGCCTTCCATCCAGTCTTGCTGTCGAGCCAACACACACTCGAAGTTGCAGCTGACATCCTGCGACTGTGCCTGTTAGTCATCCATCTAAAAGAAAAATATCGGGGCACCAACGCGCTCAAGCCGGTTCCTGGAGTCGCAGTCCAGCCGCTTGCCCTGCCATGGCTTGGCGGTGCAAGTGAATTTGCTCTTCTTGTTGCGGTTGGGCCAGTGTGTCTTGTTGCCATAGCTGACTGCATCGCATTAGCATCGCCGCCCGCTCCAACCCACTCTTCATGCACTCACACTGGACACTGTCATGCTCAAAGCGAATCCTGAGCTCCTTCTCCACAACCATGCTCCTTAGCTTCTTTCCACGCGTCAGGTTGATCGAGTCGGTCTGCTCCATGAACTGCTTGCCTGCCCCATCGTATAGAGGCGATACGTCGAGGAACGTCATGACACCCGAGTCCTCGCAATACTGATAGACCACGGCATCGAACGAGCACCAGCCGGGCGAGAAGTCGGGAATAAGACTCTGGCCACTGATATGCATGATCGACACTGCCAGCACCACAAGGAGAATAGCTAGTCTGCACATCATGTTGATCGAGTCGAGCACATGGATGGATAGAGGAGAGGTCCAGAGCCGCAACCACGGAATTTATGCTGTAGGAAAAATCTGCAGATTCACCGCGAGGACACAAACAAATGACGTCCTCGTAAATCAAAGGTGAAGGCAGTCTCGACCATCCGAATCCGGAGCCACACGACTGATTCCAAAGTGAACACTACAATCCCACACAGACATGACATGACCAAAAGACCGCATCTATCAACAGACCTACTCTTCCTGCGACTTCAGAAATTGCTGCCACACATATCTCCCAAGGACTGCCGAATCCCCGCTGCTCCCTGGTTTCCATAGTACCAAAATACCCAATGCGGTCTAGAGCCTTGGCATCTACTCAGCGTAGTCCACCTCCTAATCACATCACCCCCATCCAAATCGGCCGCGCGTTGACACCATGCACATGTGGGGAGCGGGGTGGCCAGTAGCGCGGTCCATCGGTCCGATGCCGGCAGACATGCGCCAGCACCAGCGTGTTGCTTTTGCTCCGATTCTCTTGCAACTCCATCCGTCCCCACCTCTGCCACACTAACAGCGACTCATGCATGGAGCACCGAAGACCAAGGGATGCCCTATCATGCGACCGATGTCGCGCGAAAAAACTCAAATGCTCTAAAAACTCTCCCGTCTGCACCGCCTGTGCCCACAGCCGCTCCCACTGCCATTACAGTGGCAAGATTGTCAGATCGCCCTTGACTCGGGCCTACCTCACCAGTGTAGAGAAGAGGCTACACACCCTAGAGTCTGTCGTCACCCAGCTAGTACCTGGCGTGGATATTGAAGAAATCCTGGCCTCTCCCAATGTCCCTGCCACAACCCCGCCGCCTGCCCAACACGCCCCTACTCCAGAGCCAGCCATCAGCCCTCAGGGCAGCACCAAGTCTAGCTCACATGAACCTCCCCTGCTGGAAGCGGTCCCCAATACTGCCGATGGCTTCAACTGGATAGAGAGTGCCAATGTCGACGGACTCATCGATGGCATGGCCGCCCTTTCCGTCGAGCCTACTGGTGTCGGATACCTAGGTCAGCATCCAACAAGCCAACAAGACATGATACTAAAAAAAGCAGTAGGCTCAACATCGGGTGTCGTCTTCTTGCGTTGCTTGCTCGATTGGGCTGGATTCGTACAGCAGACTAGAGCCGCACCACCTCAGCAGCGCGTTGCAGAGCCCTCTTCATCTTTCAACAGACTTGTTGCATCCTCACAAATCTCACACGCTGTGCTGGTCAAGCAGCTGGCAAGCAGCCTGATCGATGCCTACTTTCTCAATTATCACATCGTGTACCCATTTGTCCATGAGCCAAGGTTTCGTGCCCAGTACCATGAGGTGGTGCCGCGCCCGCCAAAGAGGTCGTGGGATATGCTGTACCATGTCATATTAGCGCTTGGCGCCTGGTCATTGAACAATGATCATGTTGGCTTGGAAAATTATCTGTATCGTCGGGCTCTGACCATTGGCCAAGATGAATCTGTGTTTGAAGCCGCCTGTCTGTCGACCGTCCAAGCCCTTGTATTGCTGGCCAATCTTGCCCAGAAGCGAAACAGCCTCAACACCGGGTGGAATCTGCTAGGTCTCGCTGTGCGTGCGGCGCTGAGCCTAGCTCTGCATAGAGAGCTCCCACATTGGAACATCAGTCTGATTGAGCGCGAGTCAAGACGCAGAGTCTGGTGGGGTTTGTACATCTTCGACAGTGGTGCTTCCACCACACTGGGACGCGCCGTCTTGCTGCCTGATCAAGACACGATGAATGTGCAGCCCATACTCAATATTGATGACGCGGTACGCTATCATAGATGAAAGCCTTTGTCCGCAGTACTGACCACAGCTAGTTGCTTACGCCTCAAACTACGTTCATTCCTGTCGAGTTGGACACTCCAACAATCTACTCCTCGCTCAAGCAACAAAGCAGCTTCCACCTTCACACCAACCACATCTCAAACAAACTGCTGGCCGAGCCGGGGCTATCTGCCGAAACAGCACTCGCATTCAACGCTACCATGGACGCATGGGCACATACTGTTCCCTTGTATTTTCAACTGTCACACCCGCCATACATGTCCGAGCGATGGTACATCTTTGCACGGTCGCGGTTGTGGTGGCGATTCTGGAACCTCAAGATCATCCTGTTCCGCCAGATTCTGCTTCGCTGCGCCATATCAGAACGTGGCCACATACCGGACCAGGCCACAGATGCTGGTCCGCAAGACTGCAAGCGTCTTTGCTTGGAGGCCGCACATTCCACCGTCACTTCCATCCATCAATACACGGCAAGCGAGTCGAACAGACAGGAGAGCTGGTACGCGACGTAAGTACATCCTTAATCATTGCAACTCATATGCCAACGTCAATAGATACTTTCTCTTCCACGCAGCGTTAGTCATAACTCTATGTATCATCAGCTTTCCAGACGCTGAAGACATGCCCACCTGGCTTGAAGATGTGCGACTAGCCAGGACGACGTTTCACGAGCATCTTGTCCAGGGCTCGCTGTCAGCAAGATGCGTTGCTGTTCTTGATCAAGTCGTGTCCGCCGATCTAGGCGCGGGCATGTTCCCAAATGGCGAGCTGGATAAAGATGCATTGAGCAGCTTTCCATGGTCTGCCGAGTCGAGCGAGTTATTTAGCTCGTTTGATTGGGACTTGTCTACTACGACTTTCTAGTGCATGACAACTGTTTTCAGTGCACGTGGGCGTCGTTGATTCGTAATCCTGACATCCGCCCAATTGAGCAAAGACCGTATCAACTACACAGTGACGCTGTACTAGGCACTCACGAACGGCTTCAGCGGGAGCCTCGACAACGCATCTATAAATATCAGTTCGACGCATGGCATGAAGAAACACCACCAACCTTTTCTCGCAACCCTCTGCAATCTATCCCATGGGTCCTGCTTCAGCAATGCGTAGTTCCCCTCAACGACAAGAAGTGTATGAGAAGAAATCCGGGTCCCGTCCTACACGCAGTCTTTAGCCTTATGACCAAAGCCCGACGCAGAAAATCACACTTCCTCTTCGCTTCGCCGTAACAAGCACCGCCTTGAGCACCCTGGCAAGCCCAAGATAGCTCTGTGCATCAAACGCAAACGGATTCTACGCCTCCTGAACACTCCCTGTACATGTTCAAACATCCGCAAACCCGGCTTGTATAATGGAGTCCGACCTGGCTTTTTCCAGATCCCAGATTAACTTACTGCAATGCAGTCGTACCATTACCACCACGCCAACACTCCTAATCCCTCGCACCGCTACAAGCATCCCCACAGAACCATCGTCTCCCCTCGACCTAGGCACGCTAGCCAGCGTAACGAGCTACGTGCTGACCATGTAGGATACGATACTTGACTTTTGTGCGCTTGATCAGGTCTAGTATGGATATGTATGCGGAGAGCCTATCTGCATAGCACCTGCACCAACTAGTACCAGTACCAGTACCAGGACTAGTGTTGTTGTGTATGTCTCGTCTCGTCTCGCTACACTACACTGCAGATTTGGCAACGTATAAGGCGGGACAGAAAACGCACGACGAGGCAAGGAATCGCAGGAATGCTAGTGCGCATGTGTGCTAGGGTCGTGGGTATTACTGTGGAAATATTAGTGTCGTAGTACAGTATGTATAGTCTCAGTCTTATACCTACATACATACATACATACATAACTACACACATACGAGTCTTTACTGCAACTCCACTCCACTCCACTCCACCCCACTGCCAACACCAACACCAACAACACCAACACCATCACTAAAACTGACATCAACACACAATCCTCCCCCCCCCCAAAAAAAAACAAGAACAAGAATCCACACATTGGATATCCGCACATCACATACTCGCCTCATCTCAACTCCTTGCACTCTTCCTGCATACCGAATATACAGTAAGCAAACCATCTATATACATAACGTATGTGGCAAGCGAGCGCCGCAGGCAAGCGAGCGCCGCACCCCACCAAACCTGCGCACCTCTATAAGCCTGTAGTTCCACCACAATATAGTTGTTTTACTACATATTAACATAATAGATTAAGCAGTACCTAGAGTATCTTTCTTGCACGTACGCGAGTTATGGCCAGTCTTCTCTGCACCTACTACAGCGCGCCAAAGCCTGGCGGCTAACACCTAATCGCTCTCCTCTCTGACGCTCTTCATGAGCAATCTGCTGATTAGCCTCGCGCTGAGCGAGTAGATCCTCTCCAGCTCCCTTTGTAAGTACTCCTCGCTTCTGTATCCGCTTTTTCTTACGCTGCCTACGCTTTGTTGCTG